TATCCAATTTCTCCCTAGCGAATAGTTTTAGTTATGGCCCGGCCCACATAATCCCTGCAATTTACCACAAAAAAAAAAATATATTCTCTTTATTTTTAATCTCGTCTCTTAAAATGAGAAATTAGATGCGACACCTGGTTTGTTTTTAAAATGTGTGGATGTGAATTTCACACACACCCATATGTATGCATGTACTTAGTTATTTAATCAATCTATAATAAAAATCCACCCGGTGTAAATAATCAGGTGTACCCTAAATGCAATGCACTGGTCTCTGACCAAAATTCACGAATACTATTATAATTGTAACACTGTAAAATCAGGTTTTGTACGTGGTGAAATATATCATGTGCTTTTAAACAATAGATCTATACATAAAAGATAAAACACACACACTTATATGTATGCATGTATGCTTAGTGGATATTTATTCCGATTATCGTTTAAAACTACGTAGTGTATTTCACCAGGTGCAAAATTTCATAAGACGTAAAATCATATATCCATCAGCGAAAGTTTGTAGTTTAGTTGTTATTACAACTGCCAACTTACAACCAGATTATCATAAATGTTGGTTACTAGGAAGTAAGTAAGAAATGTTTGGGAAATTCAAAACTATATATATAAATAGTACATGTAATAATTAATTGGCAATTATAAGCAGAAGCAGATTTGGTCGTTGAAAGATTGAGAATCTAACCAATCTGACAAGACAAATTAACTAGGGTTGGAATTTAGAACAAAAGTGGGGTTGGTTGTCCTTTGTCAACACCCTGGACCATCTTTTTTTCCAATTTGGGTCCACGTCATTGTGTCCAAATAAATCATTATTATAAGTATTAAAAAAATATAATAATAATAATAATTATTATTTTTATGAAGAATTATAATCGCTAATTGCTGAAAAAGTCTCGTGTTAAAAATATTAGTAAAAACCCCCTATAAAAATTAGTCAAAGCCAACAAGGCCCCTACGAGCTGAATGTATATTGCACGCGCGGATTCCACGACCTGGGGTATTTTTTTGACGTGAAAAGATCCAAATACCCTTTAAAAAATAAATTTATAAAATTATAAATTCACCCCATGTTTTTTGTAAAACCCAAAATAAAAGTTTCATAATTTTCTTTTATATTTATTATAAAAAAAAATCATTTTGTTTATTTTAATTGAAATATTTTTTTAAAAATTATTAGGGGTAATTTTGTCATTTCATTTAAGTCAAACACCAATTTTAATGTAAGGAGTTGTGTGCTATGTAAAATGTAACGTAGGGGGATTATTGCTAAAATTTTTTAACATAAGGATTTTTTCGATGATTGGAGATTACATAGGAGGGGGTCTGTGCTAATAACTCCAAATAAATAGTTGCTTGAAACTCGGTGAAATTATCTTTAATGCACGATGCTGACGAGCAATTCTTGCTCCAAAAGGCGAAATCACTCTACCCAGCGGGCCGATGTTGGTTATAGTGTGTCCATTGTTTGTTACTTTACAATGAGCGGGACTAGGAATCCGATGCGCATCACAAAATCTTATCGATACCGATACGACACGATTTCCACCAATATACATATACAATGCCTGCCCTTACAAGAGTTTAAAGGCTATTCAATAGTTTTTAAATTACATGCATTTGTTTGTTGGAATGATATATCGATGAACAATAATGGGCTTATATATTTTGTTGGCCCAACCTTGTATTGTTTACTAAGATTAGTAATCGAGACGAATTTGAACGATATTTATTTGATCCTAACCGAATCGAGTTCCATTAGCTAAATTATACATACGGTCAATTTTTTTTTTCTAATTGGAATCGAGTCGAGCTTCAAATATTATTCAACGGAAAATAATGTTTTAAGTTGTGGAGAGAGAGAGAGAGAGAGAGAGAGAGAGAGAGGGAGAGAGAGAGTATAGTGTTGTGGGCCTGTCTAGCAGAAGCCCATAACCCATGCACATTTGGCCCGCCTTCTACGGCCTGGAATTTTGAATTTCATTTTTTCTTTGAATTAATTATTTATAAAATATATTACATATTTAATATTATGGACCCGAATCAATAATTAATTATGTCAACATTATTGATTAAGGAGGTGTTTGCAAACGTTTTTTGAAATTGATTATGAGCTTTTTTTGCTCATAATCTGTTTTCAAGTATTTGCTAAATCAACTTTTGTTTTTGCTTCTCTTCAAATAATCTGCTTTAAGCTATTTTTTGAAAAGCACCCATAACCATGCTTTTTCTATTTAAGTTCATTTTCCGGAATATTTGCAAACACCCCCAACTTTTAGAAATAAGCACTTAAAACTGACTTAACTCACAATCTCTAACTTCTGCTTTTAAATAATCATTTGCAAACACCACCTTCCCAAAATTCTAACTTTTAATTGATTTAATTTAGGATAACTAACAACAACCCACCTGAAGTAAACTGTAATTACAAAAACATCCTTCATTTTGAGAAATTACATCAAGACCCTTGCAATTTGTAATTTTCTTACATCCACCCCCTACAAAAGGGTGTTGAAGTAATAAATATACAAATTGGAGGGATCATATGTAATTACGAAAAAATGAGGGATTTTTTGTTAATAGACCTTATCTAAGGGGCCGGTTGTAATTTTCCCTAAAATTTATAAACTTATTTCAAATAATTACATGGGCTTTATTAACGAGCTGGGCCAAGAAATAATAGTCTTGGATTGCAGGCAAAGCCCGGTCTACCCGAACAAAGTTCGGGCGGGTCGAGTTTCTGGCCCATTTTGACAACACTAGTCCAATGTATGTTATTTCCAAGGTGGAAATTGGTACGGAATTTTTCAAATTCCGAATTTTAAAATTTTCGACCACGTCTTATTTTTCTTGACTGAATTTGTATATATGCGAAATTCCGATAATCGGGATTTATTTTCAAAAGTTGTGTTTTTTTTAAACCAAATTACTTTTAGGGTAAATTACGGCCACCTGCCTGAGTTATGGTCAATTTACGAAAACTCCTTTATGTTTGGATAATTACAGTCATCCCCTAAACTATGTATTATCATACGAAAAAACCCCTCCATAGGTAAATTTTAGAGATGTCAAATCGGTAAAATTGAATCAAAATTTTGGTGCACCAACATTTCATACCGTTTGCCGAACTGAATATACGATTTGGTTCGGTAAATAACCGAATTACATAAAATTTATATAAAAATATTTAATAGAATGGTGGCTGTAATTACCCAAACAAGAAGGGTATTTTCGTAATTGGCCATACCTCAGAGGGTGGCCGTAAATTGCCCTTATTATTATGTATTTTGTATCATATGTGAATTAAAAAGAAAATTGAGTTTCAATTCGGAAAAAAATCGAATTTTCTAATAATATTTTTATTTCAATTTCTGGAAATTGAAAACATAATTGGAATGGATGCTTTGAAAACTTTTTATACTTTGAAATGCATACTAGTTGAGATGCTTTAAGAGTAGTCAAATGATGGGGAAATGGGAAATGGATGGAAAAAAGGAAAATGTCAACATTATTTTTTTCAACACAAATTTATCGAAGCGCATGGAACGAGAATACTTAGGTGGCGTTTACAAAAATCATTGAAAAATAATTATCGGCTTTTCGCTCATAATTTTTAATATTTGCAATAATAGTTTTTGCTTCTGATTCTTTAAAATAAATAGTTTTACGGTATAATCTGAAAAGTGTCATTCGATACCTCTTCGAATCTTAAAACACTTTTGAAACTATTTTTTTAAAAAAAATCGATAATCAATTGAGTCGATCTCAAATGAGTTTAATATCATTATTGTCAATTTTAACCCTTTATCATATACATATAATATATTAATATATAATTTGAATCTTATAAGTTATAACCTTTTTACATATGTAAAACTCATTCAACCAGACACATTTTCAACCCAATTAAATGTTAATCCATTATAATAGTGGCAACTATGCTCATAAAAATGTTATTATATTAATTTATATTATATATATAATCAACATATCCATCAATATATACATAGAAAATACATATATTTCTTTTCAAAAGAAAATACATATATTTAGTGGGCTTAATTAAAATCAGAAATTTTTTATTTCAGCCGCCTCATTTGATTTTTGAAGATGGCCACAAATATTAATAACGATAAATATCAAGAATAAATTAAAATTAATACGTTCGAATTCCATACACCATAAAAAATAGTAACTAAATTCAAAGATTTAAAATAAAATAAATAACTATAGATAAAACAAATTTTTTTTTATCAGTGACAAAACGAATTATAAATACACATTTTTGCATGTAAGAGATACTTTATTAATATATTATATATTTCAATTTAGGGTAAATGACACCCACACCCCTGAGGTATGCTTAAATAACTTTAAGGCCAATGTGGTATCGATAATTACACTCACTCCCCTGAAACATAATTATAAACTCTAATGGGATAATGCATTGGATACGTTATTACGATAGAGTTCTAACGGACTATTGATTCCATTAGAACTCTATCGGAATAATGTATCCAATGCATTATTCCGTTAGAGTTTCTAACTATGTTTCAGGGGGTGACTGTAATACCATAAGGACCTTCAAATTATTTAAGAATATCTCAGGAATGTGAGTATAATTTACCATTCAATTTATTATACTATATAATATAAACAAAACAACGTCGTTGGGCGTGACAAATTTGCGCAGCCACAGCCCATAAGGGCATTTGTTTTCTTCCCATGGGGGCCGAGATTCCATCAAACAACGCATGTGTGAACAACTTTTTATATTACTATTTATTTATCCATTGGTTGGAAAAAATGATTAAAAGATATTCCTAAATTAATTATTTAAATCCATTCATTTTTTAAGATTATTTTATTTTTTCTTCCAAGCTCGCCAATTTCTACCATTTATATTTCAGTTGACAAAAAAAAAAAACAGAGCTTCATTTTGAATATATATATATATATATCTATCTATATATATATATATATATATATACAAATACACATGTATCTATCTATCTATCTGATCGTCAAAATATATATATTCGTCTAATTTAATTCCGCCGCCGTAGATCGCCAACCGAGCCTTTTCTATAAACTTCACATGGCGGCGGCGCCACCTCAAAGGTCACGGCGGCGGCTGATGGTGGTGCTGTGGTCTGTTTTCATCCTTGGACAGCTGGTGGATTTCGCCGGAGCTCAAAATAGTACCACCAACGCCACCACTGATCCGGCTGAAGGTGCTCGCTTCGTTTTTTTTTTTTTTTTTTTTTTTTTTTATTTATTTGGATAAGAAATTTGGGGTTTTCTGAACTTTAATTTTTTATCTAATTTAGGTCAAATTAAAAAAAAACCTAATTCACAAAAAATACTAAATTTCTTACGGCCGTGTTTGGTTGCATGAATTTAATTAACTCGGAATATTTAGAAACCCAATTACACAATTTATTTATTTATTATGGATATAATAATTCATTTTTATTAGATTAACTAAAATAAAACTAAACAAGGTGTAAACTATTTAATTAATTATAGGTAATTTTAGCAACCAAACATCGTATCACTTGCTTTCAATTAATAACATTGTATTTTTAGGATTTTTTGTTGTTGGATTAAATTGAAGAAAATGTTTTTTTAATAACAACAAGTTGACTGTACCACCATCATTGCACCCACGTGGCCAAAGTCCACGGGTTACCCCACCTACCCTCCTATTTTCAGGAAATTGCATTTTCCACCCCTGACTTTTAATTTCATTGCAAGAAAACCCCTGAACAAGATTATTGCTGTAATAAAAGTTAAAACTATGTTTGAGTATTTTTTTTAATTATTATTTAAGCAAAGGTTGCTTTCATTTTTATCTATGGTCAACTGCTTTTTTTTTTTGGCCTAATAAAAATCAGTTTTGTCGGCTATTAATAAATTTCGTCATCTCGTAGAAATTTCTCATCTACTTTTAGAAGATGGCTAAGTATGACATTATGAAATGACATCTTTTTTTTTTTTTTTTTTATTGTTCTAGTTCATCATGTAAAATCGGAGGAATAGGACAAAAAACCGGTCGAATCGAAAAACAAAAAAAGAAAAATTCCGGTTGAATTCGGTTTGGTTTATTCCACTCTATGTTGAAAGTTTTATTTAGACGATCGATAGAATGAATCCGAGTCTTTAAACGGACACTTACAAAACGATCAATGTAAAAAAAAAAATCGAAATAATTATAAATAAATAAATTAATTAAAATCCGGTTGATCTCAATTGTAATTATTACCTTACGACGGATTCCATAAAATGCAATTTAATTAATTATCTTATACTTTTTTTTTTAATTTCGATCTACAGCAAGAATCGTGAACAGAATATTCCAGCTATGGCGTCGTCAAGCGACACGGGATTGGAACATTAGTGGCGAATTATGTACCGGTGTCGCCATTGATTCGACCGACCTTAACAACATTAATCCCGGGATTAAGTGCGACTGCACGTTTAATCGTAGCACCGTTTGTCGCATTACTGGCCTGTAAGTACAAATATTTCGTACTTTTAACTTATATGTATGTGACTGCACGTTTCGTATTAATTAATTTTAATTTTTTTTTATGTAGTAGAAGTGGTGAAAATCGACTGATTAAGTTTTTTTATTTTTTTCGTGTAATTTTGCAGGAGAGTTTATGCATTTGAGGATATCGTGGGCCCGATTCCGGACGAGCTTTGGAGTTTGACTTATCTCACTAATCTGTATGTTTAGTTTCTGCTAAGGTTAATCGTATCGTTTCATTTCATGCGTTAATTTCTTAAATTTTTTGTTACAGGAATTTGGGACAAAATTATCTCACCGGTCCACTTTCTCCATCAATCGGCAATCTCACTCGCATGCAATACTTGTACGCGATCAATTTTTTTTTTAGAAACTGTTCTCAACCAATTTTGATAGCGTGACGAAATTATCGAAATCTGAGATTTATTTATTAGGAGTCTTGGCATAAATGCATTATCGGGGCCGGTTCCGAGGGAGCTCGGACTGCTAACTGACTTAAGATCATTGTGAGTTTATTTTTTTATTTTGTTTTTATTTGTATGTATATACATCGATTTATGTAGTGGCATTTACGTAATTTTAACTTATGTTCAGGTCGTTTAGCACAAACAACTTCTCCGGGCCTTTACCATCTGAGCTCGGTGCCCTAACAGAACTAACTCAAATGTAATGTTTTTCACTACACATTGTGCAAAGTTCGACATACATATATAGTAGCGAATATTCTTCCCGATTATTATTATTAATTTTACTTTTTTAATTCCGTTTCGACAGATACTTCGATAGTGCTGGAGTTAGCGGCCCGATACCTCCATCATTTGCTAATCTACGGAAAATGGAGAGAGTGTACGAGAATTAAGTTTATTTATTTAATTTATTATTATTTTTAATGATCATGTTTTTCGAAAATGATTATTTTTTTCGAATTTCAGGTGGGGTTCGGACAATGCGCTGACTGGACGGATACCGGACTTCATCGGAAGTTGGACCAACCTCATCCAACTGTGAGACAAAAATCCAATTCGCGCTTTTTTTTTTTTTTTTTTTTTTTTTTTTTTTTTTCTTTTCTACACGAAAATTATGATTTAATAAATATGCATTTATTAGGAGGCTTCAAGGAAATTCATTTCAAGGTCCGATACCGGCATCTTTTTCGAATTTAACCGCTCTAAACGACCTGTAAGTATAATCCAATTCTTTTATTTCTTATATCTTTTATTAATTCGATATTTTTGTATATTATAAAAAATTTTAAAATTAATTATAAGCAATTTTTTTTCCGTACGATACTTTTAGGAGAATAAGCGAGCTAGCTAACGGGAGCTCTTCACTAGACTTCGTCCGAAGTTTGACGGCTATATCGACCTTGTAAGTATACAATTATACGAACCGTAGTCTCGTTATTATCCAACACGGCCGATTTTTTATTTATTTAATTTAATTTAATTTAATTTTGGGCAGAGTTATTCGGAACAGTAACATTTCTGGTTCCATACTGTCATTTTTCGGCGAACTCCCGAGTTTATCGTTCCTGTAAGTAATATTTATTTACAATAATACGAACTCAAAATTTAGTACAGTTAATCTAATGTACGTGTAATCCTATTTTTCAGGGATTTGAGCTTCAATAATTTAACCGGAACAATTCCCGCATCGCTTTTCAATCGCAGCTCGTTAACTAACCTGTAATAAATTTTTGCATTAACCACAATAATAATATTCAGCAAAAAGAAAAAAAAACAAAAAAAAAACAGTTAATAATTTTTTTTTATATATTTTTAATTATTCAGGTTTCTTGGTAATAACAAGTTAACCGGTGGCCTTCCTGCCGGAAAGAGTCCGTCTCTCCGAACAATGTGAGTATACACGCTTCGAAAAAAAAAATAAAAAAAATCAATTAATTCATTTGTATTTAGTGTAGTTGTGTATACAATGTAATAACATCGTATTTATTTATTTGAAGCGATTTATCGTATAATGAATTATCCGGAAGCTTCCCTCCGTGGCTCAGCGGGCAAAACTTACAAATGTAAACCTTTCGACATTCTTAATTTTGTTTTTTAAGTACATCGTTTTTATTTTGCCAAATTCTGACATTTTTTGCATCTTTATTCGGTGAAGTAATTTGGTCGCCAACAACTTCACTCTCGATAATTCGAACACCAGGTACATTCATATTTTGCTGTATAATTTTTTTAAAATTTATTTTTCGCTATCGATTAGCTTCTCGTTAATATGTTTATCACCTTCTTACGTATATTGGTCGTAACTAGGGATGTAAATTGGAACAAAATTTTCTAATTCCGGTTATTCTGTTCCGAATATTTCTGATTTTGGAACAATATTTTTCATTCCGGATTCCAAAAAATCCGATTTTTTTGTTTGTTTTTATTTTTTTGAACAGAATTGGAATACATATTAGATTCCGATTTCCAATCCAATTTTAAATTTTCAAAATATTTCCGAACATTCCAATTCTTTTATATTATAGGTTACTAAAATAGAAATTCCGAATTCTGCCGATTCCGATCCGAAAATTTCATATTTTGGAATAACTTTTTTCATTCTGAATTCCGATTGCATTTTTTTAACAGAATTGAAATAATTTTTTCACTTCCGAAAAAATTGAACTTTTTTTTTCCTTCAGAAAAGTGCTAATTCCGATCCGATCAGTTCGATTTCTACCCCAAATCGTAACTAATCTTTTTTTTTTCTTTTCATTTTTCAGTACTTTGCCTTCCGGATTGAATTGTCTTCAACGGAGTTTCCCATGCAATCGAGGCCGACCTATGTGTAAGCAACAATTACAACACAATCTTTCGAAACAAAAACGAATCTTCATTACATCATCTTATAATTCATATCCGCAGATTCAGAATTTGCGGTTAAATGTGGGGGCCCGCAAATCCGATCCTCCGACCAAACTATATACGAGGCCGATACCGAAGCTCTGGGCCCCGCAAATTATTACGTGACCGATTCTAGAAGGTGGGCCGTTAGCAATGCGGGTTTAGCAGTTGATAACAGTAATTCAAGCTATACAAGCTCGTCTGGATCGCAATTTACTAACACTCTAGATTCGGAGCTGTTTCGAACGGCTCGTATTTCGGCTGGTTCGTTGAGATATTATGGTCTTGGCCTCGAAAACGGTAACTACACTGTCAGGCTCCAATTTGCCGAGGCGCAGATACAAGGTACTAATACGTGGAGGAGCCTCGGGAGACGCGTTTTCGATATTTATATCCAGGTTAGTTAGTGTTGTTTATTTGGTAATTGGTATACTATTTATTTGTTACAATTGAAAATCCGACGGGATTTTTCTTTTTTTTTTTTTTTGAAATTCTCCGATTATAGAACAGTCCGAAAATTTCGATTCTGATTTTTTAAGATTTTGTTTTTGGATTAGTATTGGAGTATATGTGAGATTCCGATTTTCGACCCGATTTTGATTTTCGAAAATTCTGTTTTTTTTTCCCCCCAAAGATTGACTTGTAATATCAATATTATTAAGTATTTTATATTTTAGGTGCCTAAAATAATTGGAATTTTTCCGAGTTCCGTCGATTCTGAACTGAAATTTTTCGATTTCATTCAACTTTCCGAATTTACGATTTCCGAGTTCTTGATTTTTTTTTTTGGAATGGAATTGAATTGAATTTAGTGTTTCACTTCCAAACAAATCGGGAATTTTCCGAACGTGCTAATTCTTGTACGATTCTTTCGGTTTCCACCCCTACTATTTATAATCTAACCAACTTCAAATGATCTTTTTACTTTTTTTTAATTTTTTAAATTTATTAATTTCTTGTTTTAGTAAGTAACAAGTTTTTAAGTAATACAGGGGAGTTTAGCCGTGAAAGATTTCGATGCACGAAGAGAGGCAAACGGGGTCTCGTTGAGAGCCGTGACGATGGAATTCCCCGTTCTAGTGTCGGAAAATTATATGGAAATTCATCTTTTTTGGGCGGGAAAAGGTACTTGCTGCGTACCTGCTCAAGCTGTTTACGGACCTTCGATTTCAGCTATAAGTGCAAAATCAGGTATGTAAGCACTCGTAAAAAAAATAAAAAATAAACTTTATTTATTTTCCGGTAAATTACAACCACATCTGAGATAGGTTAAATTACTAAAAAATCCCTCATGTTTGGATAATTACACTTACCCCCTCAACTATGAATCTTCTTACACCTCCACCCTTATGATGTCAAATTCAACATAATCAGTGGAATGTTCTCTAGATTGTACTCGTTTTGTTCAAAACTACAGTTTCTGATGCACCATAATCTGATATATATACAAGCCAAAAAAACACATCTGATGATCATCTAGCTTCAAATGTGGAGCTCGAATGGTATAAAACGGGTCCAAAATTGAGAATATTCCATATAATCTACAAGATTCCACTAAATTTGAAACTGCAAGGGTGGACGTGTAAGAATATTTATAGTTGAGTGGTGGTTGTAATTACCCAAACATGAGGGGGTTTTTCGTAATTTGAGGGGTGGTTGTAATTTACCGTTATTTTCTTTAATAAATCCCTGCTAATATTGATAACATAAATAATTATTTTACAGATTTTCCCTCGACTGTTTCGAACAATCCTCCGGGTAGTAAGAAGAATCATACCGGTCTGATTGTCGGAATCGTTGTTGCGGTTGCGTTCGTTAGTTTTCTCTCTCTAGGTGCTGTGTACTATGTGTACCGGAGACGGAAAAAACAGAGAGATTTCGAGGATGAAGGTAATAATAAAAAGAGAATTTAAAAGAAATAAAATCAACAATGATAAACTAATTAATCAATATAATTTTTTTTTTTTTTTAAATGTATTTGCAGAGTTGTTGGGAATCGACGCACGGCCTTACACGTTCAGCTACGCCGAACTTAAAGGTGCGACGAACGACTTCAATCCTTCGAATAAGCTCGGAGAGGGAGGATTCGGACCTGTTTATCAGGTAAAAAAAATTATTACATAGTTTACCCCTGTATTCTAAATATTAGCACAAAAAACCCCTACGATGCATTTTTTTAGCCCACAAACCCCCAACCGGTGCGTTTTTAGGGGTAGTTTGCTAATAAAATTGAATCATACACGATTACACGGGGAGTTCTTTTACCAGTTTTTTTGACAATTAGAGTAATTATATGAGTGCTAAAAGCAATAAGAAAAATTTATATTTGATGTGAAAAAATAATATATATTTTTTTGGAAAAAAAAAAAACAGGGAATGCTCGGCGACGGAAGAGCAATAGCTGTTAAACAATTATCGGTGGCGTCGCATCAAGGAAAGAGCCAATTTGTGGCGGAGATCGCTACGATTTCTGCGGTGCAACACCGTAATTTAGTGAAATTGTACGGATGTTGCATTGAGGGAGATAAAAGGTTGCTCGTTTACGAATATCTCGAGAACAAGAGTCTCGATCAGCTATTATTTGGAACTGGTAAAAAATATATCAAAACTTTTTTTTTTAATTATTATTATTTTATTTTTTTTAAATGAACATTGATTTTTTTTATTTTATTTTTATGATGTAATGGAAATAGGGAAAAGTAGTCTATATCTCGATTGGCCAACGCGTTACGAAATTTGCTTGGGGGTGGCGAGGGGGCTCGCTTATCTTCACGAAGAATCTCGATTGAGAATTGTTCATAGAGATGTGAAAGCTAGCAACATTTTGCTCGATTCCGATCTTACCCCTAAAATTTCGGATTTCGGCTTGGCCAAATTGTATGATGATAAAAAGACTCATATTAGCACCCGAGTTGCCGGCACCATGTAAGTCTTTTCTATTTTTTGATTTTATTTTTCCAATTTTTTTACGATAAGATTTAAACTCGTTAACATGAGACTATTGCAATCGGGCCTAATTTTGATCGTTTTTTTGTTTATTCGTGTAGTGGGTATCTAGCACCGGAATATGCTATGCGCGGACATCTTACCGAAAAAGCCGATACATTCGGATTTGGAGTCGTAGCTCTAGAAATCATTAGCGGAAGAACGAATTCCGATTCGACTTTGGACGAGGATAAGATGTATCTTCTCGAATGGGTAAGTCTTCTTCTACTATGATTTTAATGGCTTATTGAATTTAACACCCCGGTATTTACTCTATTTGTCAAAAAACACCCCTTATAAATATTAGGACCACCCCCCCCCCCCCCCCCCCCCCCCCCCGGATCCAATTCTATAAACCACCCCTAAAAATACACCATTTAGGTGGATGTAATTTGGGGTGGACACAATTTTGGAACAATTTTTTCATACCAATTCGGTTTCGAATTTTTCAGAATTTTTTGGATTGGAATTGGAATAAATATGAGATTTCGATTTTCAATTCAATTTGAATTTCCAAAAATTCTACGCTTATAATAGTACTAATATCTGTTATTATGTATTCTGCACTTAGATTTTGATAAAAAAATTCTGACTTTGGAACAAATTTTTTCATTCCAATTTTCGATTTTGTCCTATTTTTGGGAAAACGGAATTGGAATTAGTTTTTCACCTAAAAAAAAAATCAGAAAATTTCCGGAAGTGCTCGAATAGTCCGATTTCCACCCTTAGTTGTAATAAAATATTTGATAATAATCTGGAACATGCAGGCATGGAATCTACACGAAAACGGAAGGGAAATCGAATTGGTGGACCCCACGCTACAACAATACGACGTGAACGAAGTAAAAAGGATAATCGGGATGGCGCTTTTGTGCACGCAGGCATCCCCGTCACTACGTCCCGCCATGTCACGCGTTGTGGCCATGCTTTCCGGAGATATTGAGGTGGCTCCCGTAACTTCTAGACCAGGCTACCTAACCGACTGGAGGTTCGATGACATCACCGGCTCCTTTGTGACCAACACCAGTGGTTCGACTCCGATCTCTGCTGATGTCAGCCATATGAATTCAACCACAAGCACTTCTGTTACGGGAACTTCGACGTATTCGCCTTATAACCCTTCGAAACCGATGCTTCACGAGATAATTGGCGACGGCAGGTAAAACGAATGATGGGTGGTTTCTTGATTTTGTGCAGTGTTTGTTTCTTTATTGTGTGTTCGTGTTTGATTAAATAGATTTTGTTTTTTCTTTACAGAGATGATTTGTTTTCGTATAGATTTTTATTTTAATTTTTTTCTGGGACCCAAATTGAACATATATTAAGTATTGGATATTTATTTGGAGATTGTATTTTATTTTTGTTTTTTTCGAAATCATAAATTTGCATAAAATATTAGTGATGGTCTCATTTTATACTCACGGGTTCATAGTTTCTTCAGTTTCAAAAAAAAAAATAAGGTTAAATTTTATGTTTGGATAATTTCAATTAACCCCTCAACTATGAATCTTCTTACATGCCCACACTTATAGTATCAAATTCAACATAATATTCGAGATTCCGTGGAATATTCTCTAGTTTGTATTTGTTTTCTGTAAAATGTAATTTCCAATGCACCACAATCCGATATTTACAAGCAAAGATTCACACATCTTATAGTTGTCTTGTTTCAATTAATGGAGCTCGAATAAGATAAAACAGTACAGAATAGAGAATATTTCACATAATCTAGAGGATTTCATTAAATTTGACACCGCAAGAGTGAACGTATAAGAAGATTCATAGTTGACAGGGCTAATTGTAATTATCCAAACAAAATAATTTTTTTCGTAATTTGACCTCATCTCGAGGAGTGTGGCCGAAATTTACCAAAAATAAAATAAAATAATAATAACTCTGATTATATTGAATCTTCCCACAAATCAGAACAGAGATTTCTGAACAGTAATTATCAGTTAATAATTTCAATTGAATCTTCCCCAAAACAGAAGAGAGAGTTCTGCAACTTAATTAATTATCAAAATTCAACAAACAAAACAAATTAAAATAATAAAAAAAAAAAAAAAAAAAAAGAAATTCATCAACTGCAGAGTATGACTCTGGTGAGACCCAAAACGAGACAAGAAACAGTGAAGAAGAAGAGGGTAACAAAATCCCGACCCGACCATTTCCGGACGGGTTTGGATTCGACCCGCAAGCTCTTGGCCCGCCTGAGAGCGTCGACCTCCTTCAGCAAATCGAACTCAACACCCTTCTTCTTCAGCTCTTCCACGCACTTTGCAAGCAGCGACGAATCCTCTTTTTCTCTCTCTAGCATCTTCTCCACGTGGCACTCCACGTCGTTCTTGTACCGGATCGCCCATATGAACCCTAGCGAGAAGAGCAGCGAGCAGAGCGACGGGACCCACGATCTCTTGCAGAGGTGGGCGGCGGCGTTTGCGGCGGCGGAGAAGAGGAGGAGGAGGGCGGTGGAGTGGAAGAGGAAGAAGAGGCAGTAGAGCTGGGTGATTTGGTGGCGGGTCGAATCGAGTTGGGTTTCCTTGAGGGAGATCCGGTTTAGGATGAGTTCTTCCTCCTTCAGCCATTGTTTCAGGAGGAGTTTGTGCGTTGGGGTTTGGGCGATTTGGTGGAGCGGGTGGAGGTATTGCTTCGACTCCATTACCTGACGGTGGTTTTGTTGGCGGCGGCGGCGGCGGCGGAGATCTGGATCGGCCTTGTGTTTGGAAATTGGAAATCAATCTGAGTTTCTAGAGAGAGAGAGAGTTTTTAGAGAGAGAGAGAAATGAAGGAAAACAGTGAAGAGGAGCGGAATACACAGCGGTTTCTGTATTCCAACGGTCGGCTTTTAATTTAAATTTAAAAATAATTCCCAACGGTCGAATTTGGGGTTAAGTGACTCTATGGGGATCTATAATTATTTTTATTTTTTTTATTATTTTTATTACACTGGATCTATAATTACTTTGAAATCTAATTTCTCAATTTGAACATAATTTTTGAATATTGTCAATTTTATAACAATAGTTTTCGTTTTGAATTAAAAAGTTTTTAATTCCGATTTTCTGATTGTTTTTGTTAGCGAAATTAGAAATATATTAGATTTCGATTTAGGATTTGAATTTCAAATATTCATTTCTTTCCCCAAAAGTTGCAATTGTTATTAATTATTATCATTAATTAATTAATTGATTGATTGGATCTTATTTGATGTTTGTTCAATCAGATCTTACCCCCTTTGTTCCATAATAAGTGTGTCTTTTTAAAAAAAATATTTTTGTTTTATATTATTTGTCATTTTAGATTTTTAACCCTGTTACATATTTTCATATTTTAACCTTATTAATTCAACTTATAAACATTAACACTCTTTTATAAATTATTAAATAATAAATGTTATTTTAGTCTTTTCTATGTTTTTTTCCTCGTAAAATCAAGACGTTTATCGAATTTCTTAAGAATCTATGTAAAGATAAAAAACAACTTATAATAAAATTACTAATATACTTTTCTTGCAAAATCTCATTAAATATTAAAACATGGTGTATGTATCTATATTGCTATATATCATGCCTCTACGACATGATATATGCACGTGCCATGCATGGGTAAACTACCAAATTAATTTTTCACCTCTCACTATTTATTGCTCTGCTCATATATTAAATAATAAAATGGCAAGCCATGCTAATTCTTTAATTAATTAATTAATTCGATAAAGTCTTTGATTTACATTCAATGCCACATGGAAATGAATTCTCTCCAAATTAAAATCCGGTGATCGAGTTATTTATCACAATATATAATCATCACTTTCTCAACATATTATTATTATTATTATTTTAATTTTTTTATTTATCATATATTGTTCTGAAAATTCAAAATTACTCGCATTAGATTTGACCCTACATATATATATATATATATATATATATATATATATATATATATATATATATATATATATATATATATATATGTACCTCTATAGAATTAAATTGAATTTTTCAAATATATCGACATAATAAGTTCATGCACGGCATTATATATATCATTGTACAATTTATTCGCACAATCATTTCATATTGAAATGTGAATTAATCACACGAAAAGGACCAAATTAAATCAATAAATTTGTACACAAAAATTAAATTTCCCCCCTTTTTTTCTCATTTTTTTCAATTTTTTTAAAGAAATTTAATCCCGTTATAAATCGAGGAAGGCAGTATTCGAACCCTAAACCTCTTTTCTGATCTCTTACACCTCTACCATTATATATATGTAGGCAAAATCACTGCAAAAAAAAAAAAATTGCTAACACTTAAAAAAATATATAAGCAAATTAAATATCAATGGCTATCTTCCAATATTCTCACATAATATTCATTACACTATGCACAATATATTTTATTTTTTATTTCAAAAGAATTATAAGAAACTCGCCTCTGGCGAAAGTTTTCCGAAACATGCACCGTGCGCACGAAAAAATCACGCAAGTTTTGAACGAACGAGGCGGAACTTATTTGCTTAGAGGCCCCTGGTTTTTCCGAATCGAAATTCTTTTCACGAGCGATCCTGCTAATATCCAGCACATTTTCAGCAAAAGATTCTCAAACTATCCAAAGGGTACCGAGTTTCGGAACAAATTCGAAATCTTGGGCGACGGTATTTTCAGCTCCGATTTCGAGATGTGGGAGCTTCAACGAAGAACGATTCTTTCGTTAATCAGCCATGCAAAATTCCACACTTCTTTGGAGAGGAATGTTTGGGAGAAAATCGAAACCGGTTTGATTCCGGTTCTCGATTATTTTTCCGGACAGGGAATCGTTGTCGATTTGCAAGAGATTTTTCAGAGGTTTGCTTTCGATAATATTTGCCAGCTGGTGTTGGAGTATGATCCGGGGAGTTTATCCGCTGCTTTGCCCTACATTCCTTGTGAGAAGGCGTTCAGCGTTGCACTCCAGCCATTGATGTACAGACACGTGTTGCCCGAGAGAATCTGGAAGCTCCAAAAGTGGCTGAAAATCGGAAACGAGAAGAAGCTGACGGAATCTTGGAAGGCGTTCGATGACTTTTTATACCCGATTATTTCGTCGAAGGAGAAAAATAATCGTCTCGACGTGTTTACGGCTTTCGAAAATGCGTACGAGAATAATAATAATAACAACGTTAATTTTTCGGGAGATCTAAGGAAGTTCTTGAGGGATTCTTTATTAGGGTTACTATTTGCAGGTAGAGATACAACAAGCACGTGCATCACGTGGCTTTTCTACCTAATAGCTACAAACCCTTTATCGGAATCCAAGATTCTAGACGAGATCGAACGAGAAATAATTCCCGTAAAAAACGAGTGGAGATTCTTTAATATTGAAGAATCGAAGAAGCTTGTATATCTGCATGCATGTTTATGCGAATCTCTTCGATTATTCCCTCCTTTGGCTTTGGAGTACAAATCTCCGATCGAATCGGATACGCTCCCGAGCGGTCATTTTGTTAGTCGAAACTCGAAAGTGGTGATTTCTTTCTATACGGTGGGGAGAAGTGAGAGCGTGTGGGGGAAAGATTGCTTGGAGTTTAAGCCAGAGAGGTGGATTACGCCACGTGGCGGAATCAAACACGAGCCTTCTTACAAGTTTCCGGCGTTTAATGTGGGGCCCAGAACTTGTTTGGGTAAAGAGATGTCTTTTATTCAGATGAAAATGGTGGCGGCGACTATTGTGTATCGTTATAGGGTTCGTCTTGTGGATGGTCATTTGGTCGTTCCTCGTGATTCGCTCATGCTTCATGCGAAAAACGGGCTTAAGGTTAGATTATTTGAGAGAAATGTCTGATTCCGATCCGATCCGTTACATTATGTTATATATAATTTTATAATTAAGAAACTATGTGCAATGAGGGGGAATACGATGCTACACCCGGTGATTTTCACCGGGTGGCTCTTTTCTTGACATGTGTCCTTTTTTATTTATTTTATAATTATATTTCTAGAACCCATTGAGCCATAACTGAACCCGTAGTGGAAATCTTATTAATTTGGGTGCCTGGTTATATTCACCAGGTGTAGCATAGAATTTCCCGTGCAATGAGATAATCTATTTATTAATTTTACATTTTATAAGTTTATATGAATAAATTTCTCTATACACGTGTGTATGTACAAAGTTGAGAAAAAACAGAATACGTGTCATTAAAATTTTAAGGTGGCAAATAATTTGGAACGAACTGAAATTAAAATTATTCAAAGTTTGTAATTTGCCAATTGGCAGGAATTAACTAATTTTATTTATTTTATTTTATCAAAAAAAAATCAATTAATTTAAGTTGGCAAACTTATTTATGATGAAACATAAATAAAGTAGAACAGAAGTCATCATTACTTTGGGATTATTCATATGCTTGTGGCTGGGTGGGGCCCGCCCCTACAAGATTTTTTTTTTGGTATTTATGTATTAATTAATGCACTTTCATCCTCTCAAACTTTTAATTTTGTACACTTTAGTCCTAAAAACGAAAAAAATAATTTATTTCCTAAATTACCCCTATATTTCAGCTCTCAAGAAAACCCCTGGGTCCGCCTCTGTTGACCCTAAAAGAGGACATGAGCTGGCACCTTGATGCTTTTCTGGTATCAGAAAAAAATCAAATAATTTATATATATATATATATATATATATATATATATATATATTAATTAATTAATTAATTAATTAATTCGGACAAATCTAAGTGGAGAAAATTACAGTTTTCATCCCTCAAGTTAATTTGCACAAATCATGTTTGGTCCTCTATATTTAAAAAAAAAAACAAATTTGGTCCCTCATGTTCCAATAATTTAACACTTTTTGTCGTTTTCGTCAATTTATCGTTAGTCCGTTAGTTAAGCCAGTGATGGGCACGCTTGATTCTGTTAGTTTTAACAGGAAATTGACAGAAATAACTAAAAGTGTAGAATTTTCGAAACATAAGGAACCAAATGTGTTTTTTGAGAATATAGGGGACCAATATGAAATTGGTGCAAACTTGAGGGATGAAAGTTATACTTTTCCAATCTAAGTATTATATATTCATTCTTAATTAGGTACTAATCTCAAGATAAATATGTTTACAGATCAAACATAAACACATAGAATTGTGTTATAGCTAGCCTTGGTTTGACAACAATTGTCTCGGTGGAGGAGGCCCCGGTATAGGCGATCCACAATAGAATGTCGTAGAGGCTTGCGTGTGTTAAATTCACTATAAAGCTACGATTTGCGCATTTCTTGATACCAATTGGTTTTAGGACAATTGACATTTTAGATAGCAATACATACATATATTTTATATACGTATATGATCGAAGCCACACATTTAGTTGAATTTTACCCTTGTAAATATTTTATAACATATCGGATCGGATCAGAATCAGACATTTCTGTAAGACAATCTCACCATAAGCCCGTTTTTCGCATGAAGCATGAGAGAATCACGTGGGATGACCGAATGACCATCCACAAGACGAACCCTATAACGGTACACGATTGTCGCCGCCACCATTTTCATTTGAATAAAAGACATCTCTTTACCCAGACAAGTTCTGGGCCCCACGTTAAATGCCGGAAACTTGTAAGAAGGCTCGTGTTTGATTCCGCCACGTGGCGTAATCCACCTCTCCGGCTTAAACTCCAAGCAATCTCCCCCCCACACGCTCTCAGTTCTCCCCACCGTATAGAAAGAAATTACCACTTTCGAGTTCCGACGAACAAAATGACCGCTCGGGAGAATATCCGATTCGATGGGTGATTTGTACTCCAAAGCCAAAGGAGGGAATAATCGGAGAGATTCGCATAAACATGCATGCAGATATACAAGCTTCTTCGATTTTTCAATATTAATGAATCTCCACTCGTTTTTTACGGGAACTAATTCTCGTTCGATCTCTTCTAGAATCTTGGATTCTGATAAAGGGTTTGTAGCTATTAGGTAGAAAAGCCACGTGAGGCACGTGCTTGTTGTATCCCTACCTGCAAATAGTAACCCTAATAAAGAATCCCTCAAGAACTTCCTTGAATCCCCCGAAAAATTATTATTATTATTCTCGTACGCATTTCTGAAAGCCGTAAACACGTCGAGATTAATTTTCTCCTTCGAAGAAATAATCGGGTATATAAAATCGTCGAACGCCTTCCAAGATTCCGACAGCTTCTTCTCGTTGCCGATATTCAGCCACTTTTGCATCTTCCAGATTATCTCAGGCAACACGTGTCTGTACATCAACGGCTGGAGCGCGATACTAAACGCCTTCTCACAAGGAATGTAGGGCAAAGCAGCGGATAAACTCCCCGGATCATACTCCAACACCAGCTGGCAAATATTATCGAAAGCAAACCTCTGAAAAATCTCTTGCAAATCGACGACGATTCCCTGTCCGGAAAAATAATCGAGAACCGGAATCAAACCGGTCTCGATTTTCTCCCAAACATTCCTCTCCAAAGAAGTGTGGAATTTTGCATGGCTGATTATAGAAAGAATCGTTCTCCGTTGAAGCTCCCATAACTCGAAATCGGAGCTGAAAACACCGTCGCCCAAGATTTCGAATTTGTTTCGAAACTCGGAACCCTTTGGATAGTTTGAGAATCTTTTGCTGAAAATGTGCTGGATGTTTGCGGGATCGCTTGTGAAGAGTATATCGGTGTCGAAAAACCAGGGGCCTCTAAGCAAAAAAGTCGCCCCGCATTCGATCAAAACCTCGGTGAGTTTGTCGTGTGCTCGGTGCAGGTTTCGGACAATCGTCGGCAGCATTCCGATCAGAGGCCAGTTTGTTGGCTGAGAAGTGGCAGTTGTTTTTTTTGAGGTTGTAATAATAAGTTTGAAGAGGATAATTATTAGTAATATGATTATGTGATGAGGGTATAATTGGAAGATGGCCATGATAGTTGAGTAGTGATTGCAATATTTCTTGTTATGTTTTTTTGAAGGTATTTATTGCAAAAAAAAATTATTATTTATGTAATTATTATTATTATTATTATTCTTAGTATTATTTTAATTAATTAGATGTTGTAAGGTAAGCATTTATTGTTTGCGTTTGATTACTTAACTTGATGCGACGACTAATTAAGCGAGTACTGTTTAATTATAGTAATAATAATTAGCAATAGTAGTATATATAAATTAAAGAAAAATAAGCTCGAGTTCGACATACTCGACTCCAGCTCGACAAATCGAACTTGGAAGATGAAAGCTCAATAAGAGATGGAAATTTAGTAAAAAATAATTAGTGCCTATTTGGCCTAAGAAGTTGCCATCAAACTATAAATATACGATATAACAGTCGTATATTTATACCTCTGGACATTAATACCCTTTCAATTCAGAACAGTCGTATTTTCAAATTTTGCTAAAAGTCTATCGAGCAGCTTAGTTAGAGAGCTATATAAAAATTAGATATTTTAGACTGAAAATACATTATTATTCTTCAACTCTCATTCGTTCTCAAAACCATAAAAAATGGTATTTCTTCCACTATTCCGCCTCTCTCTACTAGTCTCACGCAGCCGGCCGCCGCCACAACATCATCAAAAAAAATGTTATTTCCAGTCAAATTTCTCTATTTTCAGTATATTTTCAGTTTAAACTCTCCAGATAAATTGTTTGTTTTAAGTCTAAGCTCTCTATATTCGATTTAACTAATTGTCTAACTAAACTACCCTAGGTGGGAGTTTTAGCAAATTCAAAATATCCGAACGGACTGTACATTAGATATATAAAATACATATGAGGGAGTATGAGCCAATTTTCCTTGTAATAATAATTGAAACTAATTTGTTATGTGTACGTTAACTATACATACACTGTACTGTAATAATCTTTTGCATATATCCAATAATTTTCTTACCAGCTTTGCCTCTCTTTTGAATGAAACGTATTCCTATAATTCATTATTAATGTTTGAAATTTGAAGATAAAATTTATGGCGATTAGATCAAGCTCTCACTATATCAATTCTAATGTAACATGGCCACATGGGTAGTTTTACTATTCTACCCTTTTTCGTGCATGGCACATGCATGCATGGGTCCGCATGCACGATAGATACATTGTACGTACCATGCATGTGTGTTAACATTTATGAATATATACATACTCTTAGGTGCCGTGATTAGGGCTCAATTGAATTGTTCGACCATGAATTAGGTTTGGGTATCGTGAAAAATCTTCCGACATAACTAGATAAGTACTGGAGAAAACATTTCAAATCGGATCGATGGCCGAAAAACGGATTCCACTACTTAAATGACGACGACATGTGGACGAACGCAATAATTTTTTTTTTCATTCCTAACTCCGTGTATAAAATTTCAATATTTTTTTTCTCTAATTAAACGGTGTATAAGTGAGATTTCGACATCGAAACTATAGACAGGCGAACACATGTTTATATATATATATATATATATATATATATATATATATATATATCAAATATTTCTACTATTTAAATAGAAACAAATCTATATTACTTGGATAATTCATAATAATATAAAAATAAATAAATAAAACATAACTAGTGTTCATTATTTATTTTATAATTTTTTTAATTTTCCTATAAACAATTTTTAATAAAAATTAAATGATTTTAATAAAAAAAAAAGAAAAAAAAAAAAAAACTAAATGAGCCTGAGCTTGAGCTCGAGCCAAAAAAAATTGACTCGATGAGCTCGAGCTCGGCAACATGGACTCGAGCTCGAGCTGGCCAAAACAGCCGAGCTCGGCTCGTTCACACGCCTAGGCTATTAGCTATGGGTCCAACCCAGTTCGGCCCATCATGCATTAGGTGAGCATTAATATCTTGATGACATTTGGCCCCTCAAGTTTGCACTAATTTCACATTAGGTCCCTCATGTTTTAAAAATTCAACATTTTTAGTCATTTTTTTGTCAATTTTTCGTTAGTACTAACGAAATCAAGCGTGTGCACATCACTTCTTTAACTGACGGAGTAACTGTAAATTGACGAAAAGGACCAAAAGTGTCAAATTATTTAAACATGAGTACTAAATGTGAAATAGGTACAAAATTGATGGGTGAAAACTGTAATTTTCCATATATAATATATATATGACGGGAAATTCTATGCTACACCTGGTGAATATAACCAGGCACCCTAATTAATAAGATTCCCACTACGGGTTCAGTTATGACCCAATGGGTTTTAAAAATATAATTATAAAATAAATAAAAAAAGACACATGTCAAGAAAAGAGCCACCCGGCCCGGTGAAAATCACCGGGTGTAGCATCGTATTCCCCTATATATGACAACATCAGATAAAATATTACATACGAAATACAACAGATGGAAGTAGGAAAAGTAAACCAAGCTCAAACAGCTTAATTATACATTCATAAAACATATGAACTGAGAAAAAGAGAAAAAAATAAATTATAAATAAATTATAAATAAATAATAAATAACTAGAAATGATATATATCATGCATCTTTTCTTGATAACAACCTGACCTTCAACCCATGCTTCGTCTTAAGAAAAACCGAATCGGACGGCGAAACCCGATGGCCCTCCACCACACGAACACGATAGCGGTGCATAATAGCAACAACCACAATCTTCATCTCGACAAGAGCCATCTCCTTACCGGGGCAGCTCCTCGGCCCCACGTTAAATGCCGGAAACTTAAACGAAGGCTCGTTCCTCAAAACTCCTCGATCGGAAATCCATCTCTCCGGCTTGAACTCCAAGGCATCCTTTCCCCACACGCTCTCCATTCTCCCCGTCGAGTAAAAAGAAAGCACGATTTTCGTATTTTTCTTCACTTCGATATTATTCGGAAGGGTATCGGGTAGAATCGAAGATTTGAGCTCCAAAGGGACCGCGGGGTATAGCCTTAGGGTTTCGTAAAAGCATGCATGGAGGTAAACTAGCTTCTTGCACTCTTCCACATCGAAAAATCTCAAATCGTCGTGCAACGATAACGATAATACATTCTCGATTTCTTCAAGAATCTTGGTTTCGGCAGACGGGTTTTCGGACAAGAGCCAGAAAAACCATATTAGGGTTGTACTCAAGCTATCTCTTCCTGCGATCAACAACCCTAGGAAACCGTCCCTCAGAAACAGTCGCAAATCGCCGGCGAAACGGATTTTGTTGCTATTTTCCTCGTACGCTTTCTTGAAAATGCCGAATATGTTAACGTCATTAGTCGTTTGATCTTTATCCTCCATGGACGTTATACAACGGTGTAAGAAGTCGTCGAATGCCTTGGAAGCTTCCGTAAGCTTCTTCTCGTTGCCAATATTCAGCCAATTTTGCAGCCTCCAAATGGACTCGGGCCAAATATGCCTATGAAGAAGTGGCTCCAATGCATCGCCCAATGCCTTTTCGCAACGAACGTGAGGGAAATCGGTCGATAAACTGCATGGATTGTGATTAAATAAAAGATGACAAATGTTATCAAACGCAAATCTCTCTAGAATATCCTGCATCTCCATCTCGATTCCTCGCTGGAGGAAATGGTCGAGAACCGGGACTAGCTCGGTTCTCACCGTTCCCCAGGTCGTTTTCTCCACCGAAGTGTAGAAACCGACCTGGTTTACGATGGAGAGCGTTAGCCTTCTCTGGAGCTCCCACATTTCGAAATCGGAGCGAAAAATACCGTCCCCCATGATTTCGAATATCTTCTGGAATTCGGGGCCCTTCGGATAATTCGAGAACCTTTTGTTGAAAATGTGGTTTATATTGATGGGATCACAAGTGAAAACCATGTCCATGTTGGTGAATAACGGACCTTTGAACACGAACGTGGCCCCGTTTTCCCTCAGGATTTCGGTGATGTAATCGTGAATCCGATGAGCGTTTCCGACGAGGCCCGGGAGCATCCCGACTACGGGCCAATTCGTCGGGGTCGACCCTTTTCGGCGGTTTTCGAATTTGAAGAATATGAGGATAATTATGCATAGAGGAATCAAGAAAATAAGATAATACTCAAACATAGCCATTGAGTTTGAAGTTTGCTACAGAAATCTTTTTTTTTTTTTTTTTTTTTGTTCTTTAAATTTAATGTTTTTGTTATTTAATTTGCAACTATACTCTCTTCTTATAGACAAAAATTTGTCTAAAGAGTTAGGTGAGTTTTAATTGTGAGCCTCATAGTGAATTTAATGCACACGTAGATAAAAAGAAGCAAATGAACGTGCATGGATTGACCGTTCATAACGTGATGTTCTATACTAATTCGGCAAGCTTACCGACTTATATATATTGACAAATAATATTTTTTAGGGATTATCGGCAAGCTTACTTGTATCATCACAAAAGTCCAATTAGAATGAGCCCAAATTTATTTCTTATTTTTAAGATAAATCCAAAACATCTTTTATTAATAAAAAATAATTAATTATCACAATTTTACCCTTACGTTAGGGTTGAATATAAATATACGTAATATTTGTTCTCTTAATATCACATTCTCAATTTCACCCACAAATCTCGCTCCACAAATCTCGCCCTTGAACATAACGTGTATCTTTTTTTTTTTCTCTCTAGATTTTTTTTTTCTTTTCTATTCACTTACCGTTGCAGATTTCCTTCCGTTCACCTCTTCTTCTCCCCACCGGCGCTTCCCCAACCCCCACCCAACGACGCTCCAGCCGCCGCCCCAGCCGCTGTCTGGATCTGATCCCTAACCTGGCCCTATTCTTGCCCCCTTGTTCAGCCTGTAGCTGTAGACTCTCGACGATGAAGATGATGTGGACGAGCTCCCCCTTTTCCAGATCTTGGTCGGCACCATTACGCCGTCGATTATTACTCCTTTGTGCCCTTGCGGCCTTGACTCAGCATTATTATAATAAATATTATAAATATACAGATGATACACAAGTGGCATTGTTGTACCAGGTAAACAACATCTTCATTTTCATTTTTCGTTATTTTTATTTTTCAATATCTGTTTTTGGGATTATTACTGTGTATTTTTTTATTTTTTTTGGTGAATTGGTATCGTATTTTCCATTGCTATAAACTTTTAGTCCGTTCCTAATAATTTTAGTCTCCCTAAAATTTTAGTTGGTTTTGAAGATTAACTTAATCCTCTATAAACATATGTACAAAAATTATTGTGCTTTTCAATAATTATGTACATAATTTTATAGTGGTTTTCAATAATTAACCTAATTCACTATAAAAATTTGTTCAAAAATTATTGTGGTTTTTAAATACTTATGTAGTGAATTTTGATAAATTTGTAGTGAATTTTAAATTTTTTCTTTTGAATGAATTAAACTGACAATTCGTTACCTTTTTTTCATTTTGGTTTAGGTTCTTGAGCAATCGAAGTGATGACGAATTTGTTTGTATACATTTGTTAATAGTGGTTTTGGATGAACATTTGTTAATAGTGGTTTTGGATGAACATATACAGGATTACACTTATGTAACAGTGGATTACACTAATTTAATAGTGGATTACGTTATTTTTAATGTGGATTATGCTTATTTTATAGTAATTTTTACTCCAATTCCATAGTGGTTTTCGATAAATTTATGCTTATTTTATATTAATTTTTACTTTAATTTCATAGTGGTTTTCGATAACTTTAGTGGTTTTCATGTTATATAGTTGTTACACAGAGTGGTTTTCATGTTTATATGTTCTCATGCTTATATAGAGTGGTTTTTATTTAAAAAAACTGGAAATAAAATAAAAAAACCATTTAAAAAAATTGAAATTAAGAAAAAAGAAAAACCATGAAAAAACGAAAATAAAAATAAAACCATTTTTTTAAATTAAAATAAAAAACATGAAAAATATAACTAAGAAAAAAAATAATTTAAAATAAAAAACCGAAAATAAAAAAAAAAGAAAAAAAAATTACAAAATTTTCTTTTAAATCGAAATAAAGAAAACAATTAAAAAACATAAAAAAGAAAAGGACAAAAAAAAAAAACTGAATTGACGTGATAAGGAGGGTAATTTTTGGAAAAGATTTGGGTGTAGATTATGGGTATAATTTTTTTTAAATTAAATAATTATATAATTAATAGTTAGTGGGGGCATATATGGTTTTTCAGGGCCATTGAATTTATCTCAAATATCATTTATAAATAAAGGATTTATCAAGAATTAAAATCTCAATGAAGGGTGTTTGGCAAATAGCCCCTATTTTTTATTACAATTAGATGTACCCCTTTGAAATGGTATGATAAACATAATTATACGATAAATTACTGCCACTTCCAGAAATAAGGTTAAATTACGAAAAAACCCTCATATTTTGGTAATTACGAATCTTCTTACACGTCCATACTTACGGTGTCAGATTTGACGTAATCTTCTAGATTATGTGGAATGTTTATCTAGTTTGTACTCGTTTTGTGGAAAAATAGATCTTTTCTCCTTTAATAGTTAACATTATACGATACATTACGGCCACTTCCTGAAGTAAGGTCAAATTACGAAGAAATCCACATGTTTTGGTAATTACGAATCTTCTTACACGTCCACACTTACGGCCTCATATTCAACATAATCTTCTAGATTATATGGAATGTTTCTCTACTTTGTACTCGTTTTGTGCAAAAATGGATCTTTTATCCTTTAATAATTACCATTATACGATAAATCACGCGCGGTCACTCCCTGAAATAAGGTCAAATTACAAAAAAAACCCTTCCTGATTGGGTAATTACGAATCTTCTTACACGTCCACACTTACGTTGTCAAATTCAACTTAATCTTCTAAATTATGTGGAATGTTTCTTTAGTTTATACTCGTTTTGTGCAAAAAATTATCTCTTATCCATTAATAATTACCAACACCTTTTTTTAATTAGATTATATATAGCCTATAGGTATATAATTTGTTCATCAAAAGAGAAATTAATTATAAAAAAATAAAAAAGATAAAAAAAAAAAATCGAATAATCATTAATCTTTCTTGTAATTAACTCTACAAAAATACATAGATCTAGCAATTTCTCTACAAAACTTGCACGCCTCTTGTTATATTTAATTCATTTTCAATAATAATAATAATGAAGTGGGGAAAATTAAAATTAAAAGAACATGTATGCGATTGTTTGCAGAAGATTAGGAACTTGTCATCCTCAACCACCAATTCGATTGCAACTACTCTTTCGGTTCCACAAGCTCTGTTTTCTCTTCGACCATTTTTATGCATTAAATTCATTGTGGGCAGAGGATCTATAGTAATGCCTCGTTTGGTTAGGAATTAGTCGTCATTATTTACTAAATAAGTGGACTTTGTTTCATGTTTGGTATTCCAATAATTTGTCAGATTGACCCGAAAATATTATATGTTAGATTATTTAATCTTATCTTGCAACCAAACGAGGCATATATTACAAATTCATTCACGTTTTTATTTCTATAACTTGCTTCACCTAGTTGTCATTAATTTAGCCAATAATGAAAATAAGAAGTATGGAGCATGGTTTGCACTAATCTTTCAATTGAACATTCAATTGGGTAGGCCAAGAATAGACCGTTTAAAAAAGGTAGAGTTTTATGTTACAACTATTTTTATATATAAAATTAGATTTTTTTATTTTGTGAATTCAAATGTGATAATTGATTCTTGCTATTCTAGTTCTTTTTAAAAAATGGTAATATGCTAGATGTCTCTAGTTGGAAACATGATTAGATGTAGAATACAATCTTAATATTTTTTTATGAACTAAATCCTTTTTACAAAAATAAACATGAGTCACATCCTCAATTTTTCTTTTATCCCTAATTTAGCATTAACCTAAATCCATAAATTCTAAAGTCACGTTTTTCTCATATTTTTTTTTCTTCTCTTGCGCAGTCTCGCCCTCTCTCTATGTCTCTCGCAATTCACTCTCTCTCTCTCTCTGAATTCGCTCTCTCTGTGTCTCTTGCTGTGTATTTTTCTCTCTCTCTCTCTCTCTCTCTCAATATTTATCTCTTTATTTTTCAATATCGCTATCTCTCTTTGTCTCTTTTGTTCTCCACCACTCCAATCCACTATTGTGGGGAGCAGTGGTTATGCAGTGGTTATGGCGGTGGAGACGGCGGCAATAAGCAGATGGTTGTAGAGGTAATTAATGAGACGGCGGCTATGGTGGTGTAAGGTCAGATCTATGGTGAAAGGCGCGACGATGGTGTTGGGTATGAATGATGGCGTGATGGCGGCGCTCGGTGATGGTGGTGGTGGTGGAGAAGCGGATCTAGGGTTTGGTTGGGAAAATTTAAAAAAAATCGATTTGGATGTCTATGGGTCTGGCGGCTAGGGTTTGTAGGAGGAGTTAGGGTTTTGAAGATGTCTTGGGTTTCAAGATGTCTATGGTGACTACGGATTACTACGGTTTCCCATGGATTTCTGTAGATGTATAATTTTCAATTTATGTAGAAAAGAAGGGGAAAAAAATAGATTTTTATATAATGAAAAAAAAAAAACGTGTTCCACATAAAAATAAAAAAAATGCTAGATGCAAACTTAAAAATGTTACATAATGCCATAGTTCATCATAGTATATTTACAATTTGGTGTAATTTCGAATTTGTGAGTGGATGGGCATTTTTGGAATGAATTTAATAAAGGATGTGAAGCAAATTTTAGTTAGACTTGCCATTTAGTTCTAATAAGATTTGTCATGAGGGATTTATATCGTAAGACCCCTTTAAAAAAAATCTATAGATAAAATAGTCAATTTATTTGATCTTTTTCAAACCCTTCTAGACGTAATTTTATTTTGCACCCTTAAAATGTAACATTTTAGTATTTTGCACCCTTGAAAAAAATTAACAATATTTTGCATCCTCGAAACACAATCATTCATTTGCAATACACGGTGAATTGATATTCTTAAAACTTAATGAGACAAATTTTATTTTTAATTGATTTTTTTCCAGGTGCAAAATAACAAATTAAATTGTTATTTTCTTATACCCTCCAACCTAATTTGGAAAGTTTAAAGTGCGAAAAAATAATAATATTCAGTTCCTTAATAATTACATTTTTTCATAAAAAGTAACATAATCTTACTAAATTATTCGGTTGGTGGATTTTTTGGTGAAAATATTTGTTAGAATTTTTTATAAGAAAATTTAATTTTCAAATAACTTGATAACAAAATAGTTTTATTCTTTTTTTATTTTTTCAAATATTATTTAGTGAATAAAAAAAATACATTGATGAGAATATTTGAAATAGTTTCGAAAGGATCGATGAGTAGAAAAAAAAATTGATATTTGACATCCTAAAAAATACTACTAAAAATATTAAATGGCCTTCATCAGGGGCGGAACCAGGAATTTTAGTTTGGGGGGCCGGGCTAGAATATATTTCAAGGGGGTTCGGGGACAACACCCCCGATTTTTTTATGGGATATTCTCATAAGATATCATACAATCAATACACATTTTTATAAAATTATTGAATCAAACAATTATATGTAATAAATAGTATGTCAAAAATATATAATCATTGTGCATTATTGTGTTATGTGTTGTGATGGTGTAAAGTCCTATTAATTCTTTTTTTGAGGATGTAAAGTACGAAAATGTAATATTACAAGGTGCAAAGTGGAATTAAGTCAATTCTCTGGGCTCTACGTATTTGTCCCTATTTCGCCTGACAACGCCGGCCCTACCCGACAATTGGGCCTGATAAACCGGGTCGGACTTTGAATATTATTTGGGCCCAAATATTTGTCATTTTGTTCGAAAAATCAAATAATTTGAACGTAATCCGGGTCAAATGTGGAGCCCCGATAAATTACTCTCCCGCCCCCAAACCCAAAAACTGTGCTCATTTCTCCATCTCGATTACTCCTCCTTCAAATTTCTGATTTCTTATCCAGCTGCTTCTGCTGAAATTAATTTTATTTCTCCTCGGCGCTGCTTCAGATTGATCGTGGTTTTTCTGTTGTTGATTATTGCGGATAAGCTCGGATTTATTTGATTTGTTTAGTGTTGGATTTGTTGTTGCCGGAGATGGCGTCGGGATCGGCGACGGCGAACAAAATCGAGAGGGCGCACCAGATGTACAGGGATGGCAAGTACCGCGATGCACTGGATTACTACACGGACGCGCTTTCCATGGCCAAGACGAAACCCCAGAGGATTGCCCTCCACAGCAATCGCGCCGCGTGTTATCTTAAACTCCACGATTTCAGTAAGGTATAAAGATAACTTACTTGTGCGTGTGTGTGTGTGTGTGTGTGTGTGTGTTTATTTCTGGAAGTTTGGTTTGAATTTGATAGCTGTTGTTCTGATTATGATTTATGAAGTGACTGGATGTTTCCATTGACTGTTGAGTGCTAGCAGAAGAAGATTGGGAATTTCATGTTATTGGTTGTCATTAGGTCAAACCTAACTGTTTGATATTTGTTTCGAGATTGTTAGTGAAACGCTCGTTTGAACTCGGTTTGTTAACGTTCGTTTGATAAGCTATGAAGAGCTCGATTAGAAGCATATGATAAAATATGTACGAAAAAATCAAGCTATTCAAGCTCGATTCGTGTTTTGCTTGATTAAAGCTCGTTCGCGCTCAACTCGATTGCTTATTAAGTCAATCTCAAACACAGCTTTCAAAGCTCTATAAGAATTCAAATAAGCTTGAACAGTCGTACGTTCGGCTCGGCTCGATTTTTTACACCCCTATGTGAACATAGATGTATGTCATGTGATTATCGTATCAAAAAATATTGGAAAATTTGTCACAATATTATTTTCTTGTATCGATAGAATCAAACGGAAAGGGGGGTTCTGGTTTAGGGATTGCTGTAGCTAATAGAGAATGGTACAAATCATGGAATTACAAATATTACAATCGAAACAGTTAATCCTTAGTTTAAATCAGGTTGGAGTTAGACTACACGTATTGCTCTATCTCAGTTCTGATTTTTTTATGTGTTTTAGTACTCGTATTTGCTATTTTTTTTAAAACTAGTAATTCCCTGTCTTAATAGTAGACGAAGTTTTGTATATGCTATGCTCGTAAAAGAATGTATAACTGACTGGACAGAGTTGCAAAAAAAAGTCCTTGTGAGTTGGTATAATATGAATCACGTGCATCTCGATAGTAGTTGGGTTCTTCCAGTCAATCAAATAAGAACCGTCTTCAGCAAAATCCAATTGCATGTGATCTTTAAGAAATGCTTCGGCACTTATATTGTTCTATGGTCCACATGCGAGTGTCTTTTGTGACAAATGTTTTTGACAACATAATTTTTTGCTTTGAATCGTAATTTATGTATACCTAAAATACCCTCAATTATCACAGGCGGCGGAAGAATGCACGTCAGTGCTAGAGCTCGATTACGATCACACAGGAGCATTGATGCTGAGGGCTCAAACTCTGGTTACACTAAAGGAGTATCATTCGGCACTTTTTGATGTCAGCCGCCTCATCGACTTGAATCCATCATCAGAAGTGTATAGAAACCTTCAAACCCGTCTGAAGACACAATTGGTAGTTTCTTCGTTTTTCCTTCGTTCTGCTTCTGCTATTCATTTCTATTTTATTGTGCAAAAAGGGTGCCATTGTCATATTGTTTTGCTTCACAAGAATGTCTTGACTTCGTAAACAAATCTAGGTTGACCTGGAATTTTAATATAATTGTTTATGTTGAACCCCGAAGCCATTATAATATCGCAAGTCGGTAATTTACTTTTAGAATGGCTACTAAATATTGTTGTTCCTTAATAGGATGAGAGATTATTTAATTGAACTTTAATTTGTTGCTTATTTGAAATATTTATGAGCATGGCAAAAAAATAAAATATATATATATATATATATATATATATATATATATATATATATATATATATATATATATATATATATATATATATATATATATTCTTTCATTTGGTAATATTACTATCTTTTGAACCTGTTTGGTCAATGTTGGTGCTTGTTCAAGGAAAGTCACTTGCTCCGATACCCGAAGAAGAAACAGAGTCTGAAGAAGAAGAAGAAGACCATTACACGGACGAAGCAAAATTGGAAGAAAACGAGAAAAAACAAGAAGACAGTTATAACAATGCGGAAGAATTCGAAAGTCGAGAAAATGATGCTAGTGAATCTCAAAACATAGTTCCGATAACCGAAAATGTAGCCTCCCAAAGTCAAACCAGTCGAAAGACAACAACTGATGATCAGCAGACCACAGGGTGGAAGACAATTCCGAAACCGAAGGGGCACTCCAATCTAGACTATTCCAGGTGGGACCGGGTTGAAAACGACTCGAGTGACGAAGACGATGACGAGGACGATGATGACAGCGACGATGATGACAGTGCCCGACCTCAGTACAGGTTTCGTGTCAAGACTGTTGGTGTGAGGGCGGTGAAATGATATATATACATATATAGTTGATCGCTCGATTTGAGCGGTAACAAAAGCTATCACTCGATGAAGAAAAAGCCAATGGTTTGTTATGTTGTATGAATTGCCGTGGGACTGTGCTAACACGTATGACGGTATGTGTGCCCGTTTTCAGAAGTTTCCGGAAGGAAATTATGTGTGATAATGTTACCAGCGCACTTGAGTTGTTATGAACTACATACTAGAGATCTCAATTCTCAAAGTTTTGAATGTAATATGAGTGTAAACTATTAAGACTTGATTTTTTTTCCTATTTTAATATAATATTTAGAATTCTTTAAAAAAAATTATTTCAATGTCCATTAATGTTCTCGAGCTTATTAACAATTTGACATGAACTCAGAGTTCGAACTCGACTCATTTGCAGTCATACTCTTGCAAATTTAATTTTGGATTATGAAATTCCTAAATCCTAATATACTACATTACAAAATCACATCATACCAATACTAATTAATTATTCAGTTTTTTTTTTTTAATAAATAATCTAATAATTATGTTTGTGTTTAAATCAAAATAACAGACATCAACAAAAGTGGTGGGGCCCACACCTCACGGGTTTCCGAGGGAAACCCTTCAAATTTCAAATCATCCGTATTCATTTCGCCATTTACATTTTTCCCCCATTTCTCCTAATTACAGCAAAACGAGGCGAACAAAAACTCACAGATACTCTCCGATCCAATCAATCTCGGAATATCTCGTTTCTCCGTTCAATTTCGCCGTCGTTAGGGCTCGTGTTTTGCCCCCCCTCCACCAATGGCGTACGGCGGCGGTGATGTCGGGCCGTGCTTTAATCTGCCCGACGAGATTCTATCCGTGATGCCGACGGACCCGTACGAGCAGCTGGATCTGGCGCGTAAGATTACGTCCATGGCTATTGCGTCGCGCGTGACCAATCTCGAGGCGGAGGCCGTCGGCCTCCGCCAGAAGCTCCGGGAAAAGGACCGCCTCATTCAGGAGCTCGAGGACAAGGCCTCCCGCCTCGAGGGCGCGTGTCAGGACGCAGAATTGCGGTTCAGAATCGCGATCGAGGATAACGTAATCGAATTTATCGAGCGGTTTTTTTATATATATATATTTTTTGTATGTGTGTTGCTGAAGATACTTTTGAATGCAGATGAAGCTATTGAAGGAGAAGGAGTCCCTGGATTTGAATGTGAAGAAACTTAATCGTGATTTGGCTAAGGTAATTTTTGTACTGTGCTACAACAATTTACAACTAATACTGTTCTAGCCGAAATATCTGAGGATTTTTTTTCAGATTCTACCTGACTAATTGTAGTTAGCTATTCTGCAAAAATTTTTCCTGAGTGTTGGGATATGGCGATAAGTTCATAAAATAGGATTGAGCTTTGCATCTGAGTATTTCAAATTGCCGTGTACGAAAGAAAAATAAAATGCTTCTTATGGAACTTATGTTTAGTTATATTTCATGTTGTCGTATAAGAAATCAAATGCATTTTCACGGCCTGTATATTCAAATTATCTTCTGCTGTATTTCTGTTAATTAAAAAATAGAATTTGGTTACTGGAATTTGAACTAAAAGTGGCTGTGTTTGAATATGATCGTTGCTCGTGAATTTTGAAACGAAGAGTCAATACACCTAAATGTAGCACACAGGTAATGCGTAAATTACTGAATTGTTTCTTATTCTACAAGTCAGGCTCCATTGCTCCATCTTTCTGTTTCATAATGGCTACAGTACCTTGGGCTTTCAGTTTTCCGTGTGTTGTGTGTGTGTGTGTGTGTGTGTGTGTGTGTGTGTGTGTGTGTGTGTGTGTGTGTGTGTGTGTGTGTGTGTGTGTGTGTGTGTGTGTGTGTGTGTGTGTGTGTGTGTGTGTGTGTGTGTGTGTGTGTGTGTGTGTGTGTGTGTGTGTGTGTGTGTGTGTGTGTGTGTGTGAATATCTATCTAACTTCTACTTTTTTTGACAGCTGGAGACATTTAAAAGGCAGCTGATGCAGTCGTTAAATGATGAAAATTCTCCAGTACGGTTACTGCCTCGTACATTTGCAAAATTTCTTGATTGTTAATTTTTCATTTTTTTTGCATAACATAAAGATTGTTATCCTTTCTTTCTAATGAACTATTCGCCCCAAAGATGAACTAACCTTCAATTTTTTACCTCACTAGCAAACAGAAACTGTAGATATCGGGACTTACGACCAATCAACCCCCAAGAAATACTCCGAACCTGGTAATCTTAATCTATGCAGATATATGTATCCAAGTGGTTTCTAGGTTATATACGGCAAATGTTGTATGTTTTTTACAATTCAGAATTTGTATATTTTCCTATGTTTCCTGTTATTGATGATTGATTTATTTTTGTAGAAGTGGAGTCTGGTGGAGGCAGAAGAAGTTATTCTTACAACGGGTCAACTGACATCACAATCATAAACGATGACGGTATTTTCAAAACCCGAGTTATTTTTTTTCTTTTTAAAATGTGCAGATCCAAGGTTGTCGAATTGGTGCTGATTTCTTACTGCTTATTTTTGCTCTACAGCTCCTAAGCTGGTGCAAAGATTTCCATTTACTCCATATCAAAAAACCCGAGTTACTCAAACTGGAACCCCAAAACTTATTACAAGTGTGGAGCTGCCCCATAATAGGGCGTACTCATCTGCTGGTTCTCCTCAGGGAATGTCTGCCCCTGCTTCTCCGAGAACTCAATATGAAGGATCGGGTTCATTTTCTTCGTGTTTCCCATCAAGCCAGTTGTCATCGGCCACAAACTCTCCTCCTCGTGGACGCCAATTGTCAGGTCCAATATTAGATTACAATATAGTAATCCGTTCGATTAATCGTAATCACTCTTTTTCGGTCTATTAGATAGTCATTTAGTCAAATTCATAATTTGTGTATTATTTTTGTTGTTTTGAGTTTTTTTAGCTCGCTCTCCTCGCATCAATGGGAAGGAGTTCTTCCGTCAAGTCAGGTGGGTTCGACAATGTTTAGGTCCAAGTGTTGGTTACGTTTTTTTAAGGATGTTTAGATCATATTCAGACAGAACAATCTTTTTCAAATGCAGGAGTCGTTTATCGCTTGATCAATTCACTGCATTTTTAACCAACATAAAGGAATTAAACGCACAAAAGCAATCTCGTGAGGTAATTCGATAAATTCCTTCATGACATCACCGAATAAATATTTTTCCTCTCATATATGGTCTCTCTCATTCTCTAAACTTTTTTCGAACTTTTAGGAAACACTGAGAAAAGCAGAAGAGATCTTCGGGGTGGATAATAAAGATCTCTATATATCATTTCAAGGGTTGCTTAACCGTAGCAATCAATAGAAGAGATATTGGAATTGGGAAGCGGTTTTTTCACGACAATCAAACTTTATGGTTCGTCGATTTTCGCCCCCTCACTTGGAGAGCACTGCTGTATCAGGTGGAACAAATACCAGGTTCCTTCCTCTCCAGCTAAATACTTCTAAAGATATTTCGTCCCGTAAATATCAAATCTCGACTCTTGCATGCCCCCCCGATCACGAATCACAATACTTCAATCTTTTTCGATTCAATTATTTATTTAGTGAATCATTCAACACACACACACACACACACACACACACACACACAAAAATAAAACGACCCACCTAGACTAGTTCAAAGTAGTCGTCGTATTCGAGATCATGTGTAACGACCCACCTAGACACCATTGCTTTATATTTCTTGGCAACAATTTTTATTATTACCATCTTTGGCTTCAATGAGGAGACGGTATATTACCGCTCCACGTGTCACTGGTGACTTAGCTTTCTCGACCGTTACGAATTTCAGATTCGTATGATTTCTTTTGTTGCATTCTCTAATAGCAAACTTCCCGCACCTACGAACGATCGGGTCGTTTATGTCTTTAACCGATCATGTGTAGGTCAAATTACGAAAACCCGATCGTGCGTAGGTGCGGATCAGGCCGTAATTAGAGCCATTTTCTTTTTATGGGTTTTATATGTAATTAAATAAATTATTGTTGTGTGTTTATTCATGGTGGATTTAAATTTAAAATCTTTTTTTTTTTAGAAAATGTATTTAAATTTAAGGGTAAATAGCACTTAACCCCCTTGTGGTTTGGACATTTTGCACATGACCCCCTTATGGTATGAATTTAGGCACATAACCCCCTTGTGGTTTTGACATTTTGCACATGACCCCCTTATGGTATGAAATTAGGCACATAACCCCCTTGTGGTTTTGAAATTTTGCACACGAACCCTTATGGTATGAAATTAGCACATAACCCCCTTGAATAGAAAATTGGAAAATACGAAATTACTCTTATCAAGTCAAAAAATCTTGTTTTAATTTAAAAATAATTATTCTATAAAATGAAAAGCTTAATGTATTTTTTTGTAAAATGAGAAATATAATATATTATTATGTTTTTTTTAATTTCACGGCACACAATGTATATAATACTAGTTATTGTACGATTGACAATTTATTCAATTTTAAAAATCAATTTGAAAATCTTTAACATTATCAGTAATTATGATTATTATATTACTATTTTCTATATAATATATTATATTATAGTTGTTATTAAACTTTAATTTTTTTAAGAAACAAAGTATTATTTTTTTATTCTGTTGGAGAAATCTAAAAAAAAAACATTTCTCTATTGAAATGAAAATTAAATTAAAAAAAATATATGTTCAGTAAAATAGAAAAAAAACACAATAATATATTATATTTCTCATTTAAAAAAAAATACATTAAGCTTTTCATTTTATAGGATAATTATTTTTAAATTAAAACAAGAACTTTTGACTTGATAGGGGTAATTTAGTATTTTCCAGTTTTTATTCAAGGGGGTTATGTGCTAATTTCATACCATAAGGGGGTCATGTGCAAAATTTCAACACCACAAGGGGGTCATGTGCCTAATTTCATACCATAAGGGGGTCATGTGCAAAATGTCAAAAACACAACGGGGTTATGTGCCTAAATTCATACCATATGTGGGTCATATGCAAAATGTTCAAACCAAAGGGGGTTAAGTGTTATTTACCCTAAATTTAATTTAGATATGCATTGCGCTCTTATACAAAGAGTGTATCACGATGACTACTGCATGAGGACATATATAGGTTTGTATAAACATTTATTTTGATAATATAAATAAACGGCCAAATATTTAATCCTTCACACAAAATAAATAATACATAAAAATTCAAAGTTTATTAAAAAATAATATCGGGAAGTTTGACTTTCCTACTCTTGGTCAATATGTCATGCGCCTTCCGGAAGGTTTCCAATATGTGACAAACACAGATTTTTTTTCCAACAACAAAAATATTAAACAAATTAATTAGTATTTAAAGAAGGGTAAATTACACCCCTAGGTATGGTTAAATTACAAAAACCCCCATCTTGTTTGGATAATTACAACCACCCCTCAACTCCTCAAATTTAGTGGAATCTTCGAGATTATATGGAATATTATCACTTTTGTACCCGTTTTATCTAGTTCGAACTCTACATTTTGAAGCAAGATGATCATAATATGTGTTTTTTGGCTCGTGTATATCAGATTGTGGTTCATCAGAAACTATATTTTTACACAAATCGAGTACTAACTATAGCACATCCCACGAAATCTAGATGATTATGTTGAATTTGACACCATAAGGGTGGAAGTGTAAGAAAAAAACATAGTTGAGGGGGATATATGTAGTTATCCAAACAAGAGAGGTTATTTTGTAAATTGACCATACCTCAGGGGGGTGTTTGTAATTTACCCTTTAATTCTTTAAAAGATTTAAGACTGGTTCAAGTTTTAAAAATTGGGGCCCACGGAAACAAAAAGTCAAGACTCATGCTTGACTTTGACCACCTCTAATAATAATGATATATATATCACTATATCAGTATGTCACCTTTTTGTATATATATCATAGATTCATATGCATTATGAATGTTCTTCCTCCTTCATTTCAAACGTGAAACATGTGGCACAGAGCCTAATTCCCAGTATATATATAATATGTAGCCTGAATTTCTTTTTCTTTTTCTTTTTTTTTCGGGTTTTCGGTTTTTTTTTTTTTTTTTTTTTGTTATTAATAACCATGGAAGTGAAAAATGTTAGCAGCAGCAAAATAACTAATAATAATAATGAATTAGAGGAAGATGATGATGTTCAACTTCCGGGGTTTAGGTTTCATCCGACAGACGAAGAGCTTGTCGGATTCTATCTCAAACGGAAGATCGAAAAAAGACCTATTCGTATCGAACTTATTAAGCAGGCTGATATTTACAAGTATGACCCATGGGATCTTCCAAGTAAGTGTGTGTAATATTTCTTTTTTTTTTTTTAGGTTAAATATTATTTTGCACTAATTTAGTGATCCTTTAATTAATTTTATGTGATTTATGGCACTAATTATTAATATATCTAGGTTACTAAATAACTTAATTTACAACTTCAATATCATATGTTCCATGTCTTGTTTACCCCTTGATATATGAATTGCCGGAGGGTTTTTTTGGTACATTTTGAAGTTCAGAGGGGTAAAAGTGTCAGATGAATAATGTAAAATTATAGTAACAATCTTGGTTGTTATTAGATGTAGAAAAATGCTACAACTAGAGTCCATACTTAAGGGGTTTGGCATGAGCTCGATTAGATGGTTCGACTTAAGTTCGAGCTCGAGCTTGCCAAAACAGCCAAAACGCTGCTCGAACTCGGCTCGTTTTGCAACCCTATAATCTAGGACATTAATTTTGGAATTTTTGAATTCTTGATTATTACTTTTATCAAAATCAAGAGTTACACATCATGGATTCTTGAAAATATAATATAAATGTTTTTTTCTTTTTTTTCTTCCCGAAATTTCAGAATCGAGTGACGTAGGGGACGACAAGGAGTGGTACTTCTTCTGCAAACGAGGAAGAAAATACAGGAACAGCACACGACCCAATAGGGTTACGGGTACGGGTTCGGGTTTCTGGAAAGCCACCGGAATCGACAAACCTGTATACTCCGGCGCCGGAGACAAGTGTATTATTGGCCTGAAAAAATCCCTCGTGTACTACCGTGGAAGCGCCGGGAAAGGGACCAAGACCGACTGGATGATGCACGAGTTCCGCCTTCCGGCGAGCCACGACGGCAAAACCATCACCAAAAACGGTGTCACTAAAAACTTTGCTCAAGAAGCTGTAAGTATCGTTAATTAAGTTCATTCCGAATTCCCATGTTTTTAATCGGAATTGGAGTATAGATGAGATTCTGATTTCATATCAAATTTTAATTTCTGAAACTTTCGATTTATTAATTTTTTTATCGAAAATTATTTTTTTTCTCGAAAATTGGACTTATAATCTCAATATATTATTAGCATTTTATATTTAGCTGGCTATAAATTTGAAACTTTTCAAATTCCGTCAATTCCGAAATTTTCAATTAGGAACAAAAAATTTCATTCCAATTTTCGATTTTTTAATTTTCGGAAAAAATCATTTTTTTTTTCTGAAAATAGTTAATTTCAATCTGATCCGTCCGATTTGAACGCCTAATCGTTGTCGAACTTTGTTTGTTGTTGATCAATTTTACAGGAAGTTTGGACCTTATGCCGAATATTAAAGAGGAACGTTACTTACAAGAATTGTGCACAAGATTGGAGAGAAGTTGCTGCAAATAAAAACACAATAATCAATAATAATAATAATAATAATAATAATAATAATAATATTCCAATAATTAATTCAAATTACTCCAAAGCATGCAACAACAATGTATATTATTCTAATCAGAACAGTCAAATAAGTTACAATATTATAAATTTCAATGCTCAAATAAATAATAATAATTATTATAATTACAATATTCCAAATAATTATCAACAACGTGATTTTCCAGGCCGTAATTTCCTTTCGTCAACTTCGTCGCTTTCGAGCTCTGTAGATATAATTAGTGACGAATTTCTAAGGCGTGCCGATTGGGAAGATCTTCGATCCGTTGTAGACTGTGCTGCTGCGCTAAGCCCATACATAACTAAAAATTGCAATTCGGTGTAAATATTTTGTTTACGTATTTTAATTTGAATTTTTTTTTTCTTTCATACATGCATTGGATAAACTCTGCTTTCGTGTACTAGTTCGCAAAGTTTATAATATATAGAAGAAATTATTATTATGAAGTTTATATCGAAGAAATTATTATTATGGATATTTATTTTCCGCGATTGTTTCCGAAACAAAAAAATTCTTATATAATATCAATATTATTATTTATCTTATATATTGTAGGTAATAGGAAACTTATATAATTTTTGAAAATTCTCATGTTGAAACAAGTTTATTAATTACAATTTCAAGATTCGATTTTCAATCTTCCTGATATTTTCAGAATTAAATTGGAATATTAGCTTATCCGGAAAAAACTAATTTCAATCTGATCTAACTAATTCGTTCAAATTTCGACCTCTTGTATATGATTCACAACAAAATAAACAAATAATATGATACAATTTATATATTTCTCGAACAAATTAATATATTAAGATCTCATAAATTCTCTTGTATTAACTACAAATACAATTATAAACAACAAATTAATAATTCCTCCTACACGAAATCATCGTCGAATTCCGGAATATCTTCAAAGAAATTATGCATCAAAGCATGACTATCTAATCCAATCGCATCAAGATCCGGAATAGGGCCTTCGATAATATATTCCGAAATCGGTCGACTCAACCACCACTCAATTGATCGAGGCGATTTAACTTCCTCATAACATCTCTCTTCTTTCGTCGCATACTCAATCAGTCTTGAATCCATCGCCGCATCGAAATTTCGAAAAACAGCCTTGATAGTCTTGGTTCTCGTTTTCCTATGAACATGAAAACCTAGGACGTCGCAAATCGGAATTTTACGAGGTCTTCCTCTAACGACTTTGCCCTTGAGAATTTTTCCAGATTGCACCCGTTTTTTATCAAAAGACATGGCAATTTTTTTTCCTATTGTAATTCTTGGAATAAATTATTAGATTATTTGATAAAAAAAAAAGACAAAGTATATTAATAGAGTTTAAAAGATGTAGTTCATCAATTAGGAAAAAGGAGATTGAATTAATGTCTAAGTGCTTCATCTTATGTTAATTTATATATAAGGAATTAATTTTCGAATTATTATGGTGTTAGGATTCAATTTTATAAATCTAATTGGGCCCTATTTAAATTATCTATTAAATGTTTGGGCTGCTCTCTCATCTCAACATTTCAAATAAAACTACAGCCCAAAATTAAATAATTTTAGGTACATATAATATAATGGAATATATAGATTGCGTGATATTTTTATATTATTTATTTATTTAATTAAATATAGTGGAAAACGTGGAAAAGAGTTAATTTACTTGGAGCTCAAGTTCTTCTAATTTTTATTTATAATAGGAGCAAAAATACTTTGACTTTTTATAATTATAATAATTTAGCCTTAAAGTATATGTACTATATTATGTTGTGCTATTTAATTTAATTTTAATTTATTATCTGCATTTTTATGCAAACCAAATTGCATCCTTAAAATTTGTAAATAAATTAAATCGATTCGAATACATATTTTTTCAATTTTTTTAAATATATATTAATATTTTAAAGTTATATTTCAGTATGATTTGATAAGAAATTTAGTTATACTCGAATTGTCAATGAAGTCGAATACATATCGAATTTAAATAATTCTTTTTCGTAACTAAGTTCGAGATTGAACTCGAGACAACTTTATAATTTTACGAACAAAAATATATAATAAAATTTAATTCATTAAACAATAAAACAAATTTTAGTAAACAATCTCAATCAAATACCAAAGGCTATAAATTGTGCCAACAAAGCCCAATTTATCGAATATTCCCCCCAAGAGGCGACTACTGTAGGAAAACAAAACTGGAGAGAATTAAATTGACAATTCTACCCCCGAATTGTATTAGGGTTCCTTCTCTCGGCCTTAAATTGCCCACTCCACTTATCCCATTCAGTTACTCCGCCTCCAAAGCTCGTCGTTCTTCTCTCGGTTTCATCTGTAAGAACTCCGATCTTTCCTTCTCCGATCTCTTTTAATTTCAGTAATTCTTTGTAATTCACGTGTTCATCTGTTCTTTGTTGTTGATTTATTGTTTTTTTTTTTTTTTGGTTTAGATGAGTTGATTTTGGAGTTTTAATCCTGTGTTCTATATTCATCCGTATGATATATGTTATATCGATATGTATATGTATGTATGTATGTATCTGCGAATTAAGATTTGTGTAACGATGACGGAATAATATTTTTATTTATTTCAAATTTTTTAATCCTCTGTGAAGGATGAATTGAATCTGTGCTTTTCGTTTCCTTTTTTGTTGGTCTAGGGTTTTGATTTTGCTACTTGAATCTGAATTTTAGAAGCGAGTATTTTACTTTTTCAAAGTGATTATTGATGAATTGGCAAGGTTTTGTATATTAAATTTGGTAAACCCCTAATTTCTGAATTAGATGAAGGGTTTTAGAAATCAAAACAATTTTTTTTAACGAGTGGAAGTTTATTTTGTTTCTCGATTCCTTTCTTAAAGAGCTTCGAAAAGCTTGTTCAGTTTTTAGATCTAGGTCTACTTGTGTTAAAGTTTTGTTTTTCGTGGATTGGAACTCATGTTTCTGTTGTTGATCGGCAGGATAGGAAGAAATCTTCTGAATAATTCTGCAGCTGTGAAACTTAAGATCTTGCAACGATGGTAAGTTGGAAACATAGTTCTTCTAATTAAGAGAGCTACTGTTTTTATTTGATTTCTGATATGAACTTTTGTGTCTTTGTTTATCTATTCAGGTGAAGTTCACAGCCGAAGAGCTCCGGAGGATTATGGACCTCAAACACAATATTAGAAACATGTCCGTTATTGCCCATGTCGATCATGGTATGAAACCTGAAACCTGCAATCTTTTTACAACTTTCTATGTAATGATTGTTCATAGTTTTTTTTTTCAAGAAATATTTTGATGTTTGTACTGATTGTTGACTTTTATTCTCTGGCAGGGAAATCAACTCTTACCGACTCACTGGTCGCTGCTGCGGGTATTATTGCCCAAGAAGTTGCTGGTGATGTCAGGATGACCGATACCCGTGCTGATGAAGCTGAGCGTGGTATCACAATCAAGTCCACCGGTATCTCTCTGTACTACGAAATGTCCCCCGAATCTCTGGCGAGCTACAAGGGAGAGCGAAGTGGAAACGAGTACCTCATCAATCTTATTGACTCCCCTGGGCACGTTGACTTTTCTTCTGAAGTCACTGCTGCTCTGCGTATCACTGACGGTGCCCTTGTTGTGGTGGATTGTGTTGAGGGTGTCTGTGTGCAGACAGAGACTGTTCTCAGACAGGCTCTAGGAGAGAGGATTCGCCCTGTCTTGACTGTCAACAAGATGGACAGGTGTTTCCTTGAGCTCCAGGTTGATGGAGAGGAGGCTTACCAAACATTCCAGAGGGTTATTGAGAACGCAAATGTCATCATGGCAACTTATGAAGACCCTCTCCTTGGTGATGTCCAGGTGTACCCCGAGAAAGGAACTGTTGCCTTCTCTGCTGGTCTGCACGGATGGGCTTTCACTCTAACCAACTTTGCTAAGATGTACGCCTCCAAGTTCGGTGTGGACGAGAGCAAAATGATGGAAAGGCTGTGGGGTGAGAATTTCTTCGATCCCGCCACCAAGAAATGGACAACCAAGAACACTGGATCTGCCTCGTGCAAACGTGGGTTTGTCCAGTTCTGTTATGAGCCCATCAAGCAGATCATTGCCACTTGCATGAACGATCTGAAAGACAAGCTGTGGCCTATGTTGAAGAAGCTCGGTGTGACAATGAAGTCCGACGAGAAGGACTTGATTGGAAAGGCTTTAATGAAGCGTGTGATGCAGACATGGCTGCCTGCCAGCAGTGCACTATTGGAAATGATGATATTCCATCTCCCTTCTCCCGCCACTGCTCAAAGGTACCGTGTGGAAAACTTGTACGAGGGTCCCCTTGACGACATCTACGCCACTGCTATCAGAAACTGTGACCCTGATGGTCCCCTCATGCTTTACGTTTCCAAGATGATTCCCGCTTCTGACAAGGGTAGATTCTTTGCCTTTGGACGTGTGTTTGCTGGGAAGGTGTCCACTGGTTTGAAGGTCAGAATCATGGGGCCTAACTACGTACCTGGGGAGAAGAAGGACTTGTATGTCAAGAGTGTGCAGAGAACTGTTATCTGGATGGGCAAGAGACAGGAAACTGTTGAAGATGTGCCGTGCGGTAACACAGTTGCTATGGTTGGTTTGGATCAGTTCATCACCAAGAATGCTACTTTGACCAATGAGAAGGAAGTTGACGCACATCCAATCCGAGCCATGAAATTTTCAGTCTCACCCGTCGTGCGTGTCGCAGTGCAGTGCAAGCATGCCTCTGACTTGCCAAAGCTGGTCGAGGGTTTGAAGCGTCTGGCCAAGTCTGACCCCATGGTTGTCTGCTCCATTGAGGAATCTGGCGAACACATCATTGCCGGAGCAGGAGAGCTCCACCTCGAGATCTGCCTGAAGGATCTGGTGGACGACTTCATGGGTGGGGCTGAGATCATAAAATCCGACCCTGTTGTGTCCTTCCGTGAAACAGTTCTTGATAGATCCGTTCGCACGGTGATGAGTAAGTCCCCCAACAAGCACAACCGTCTGTACATGGAAGCTAGACCATTGGAGGACGGTCTTGCTGAGGCCATAGATGATGGAAAGATCGGCCCACGTGACGACCCAAAGATCCGATCCAAGCTCTTGTCTGAAGAATTCGGCTGGGATAAGGAGCTCGCCAAGAAGATTTGGGCTTTCGGTCCTGAAACCACCGGCCCGAACATGGTGGTGGATATGTGTAAGGGAGTTCAGTACTTGAATGAAATCAAGGACTCTGTTGTTGCTGGTTTCCAGTGGGCTTCAAAGGAAGGCCCGTTGGCTGAGGAGAACATGAGGGGTGTCTGCTTTGAGGTGTGCGATGTTGTGCTGCACACTGACGCGATTCACAGGGGTGGTGGTCAGGTTATCCCGACTGCCAGGAGGGTTATTTACGCGTCTATGATTACTGCAAAGCCCAGACTCTTGGAGCCCGTTTATCTCGTGGAGATTCAGGCGCCCGAGCAGGCACTTGGTGGTATTTACAGTGTGCTGAATCAGAAGCGTGGCCACGTGTTCGAGGAAATGCAGAGGCCCGGCACACCGCTGTACAACATCAAGGCATACTTGCCTGTGGTTGAGTCGTTCGGGTTTTCGAGTACTTTGAGGGCTGCCACTTCTGGACAGGCTTTCCCTCAGTGTGTGTTTGACCATTGGGAGATGATGGCGTCGGATCCTCTGCAGGCGGAATCTCAGGCTGCAGTTCTTGTGGCTGATATCCGTAAGAGGAAGGGTTTGAAGGTTACAATGACACCTCTTTCTGACTTTGAGGACAAGCTGTAAGTGGGTGGTGGATTTACGATATTACCCCTTGCTGACGTGGAAATCGACGGTGGGTGGAAGTTTTGCTGTTGCTATCGTTTTAATTGCTCTTTTTTTTTTTTATTTTAAATGTATGGTTTAGTGTTTGGACTATTTAAATTGTTGTTACGTACTCTATTTTAATTTGTGTCGGAGTCTCGTCTAGTTGCTGTTTGAGAGCTGCTTTTAGATGAACAAGAATATTGTCTGTTTTTTCAATGGATATTTCTGTATTTGCAGATTGCTTTTTTATTTGAGATGATTTTATATTCATTCTATCGTCTATCGTTGTTTTCTTAATTAAATTTCTGCCAATTTGGAAGTTGGTGTTATGTGAAATTTTATGTTGTGACTTGTGATTTACACTTAAAACTAATATTATGCTAGTATACTTATATTGCTCCTAAATTATAAATATAGTAAGCCTGTCACAACTCTTGTTAGCAATATATTAATTTGTATACTTGAAAGTTGAAGCTAATATTTAGTATACTTGTATTTTTCCTACATCTAAATATATTCAGTTCATCACAAGTCAATGAGCGTTTTATTCATTGTTACAGTTGAAAGTTGAGACTAATATCCGTTTGGCCGAACTTACTTATTTTAAGTTCATGTGATAAGCTATTTTAAGAGCCGATGACTATTATGTTTTATTCGATAATGAGCTTATAAGTTATTTTTATTCATTTTAAGATTTTAACTAAAATGTTGTTCGATTTTAACTATTATGTCCTATTTTTTGAAATTAATTTTTGAAGTGGTTCGATAATGAGCTTATAAGTTGTTTTTATCCATATTAAGATTTTAACTAAAAATGTGGGCTATATGTATTTAAAAAAAAATTACCGAACACTGTAAAGAACTTATAAGAATTTTTGAGAAGGCGCTCTTGCAGAAAACGCGACTTACATTAATGTAGTCGCGCTCAGCAGTCAGCACTCTGCAAATTTTTCTTCAATTCGAAGAGAGAAATGGCGTTTGCTTGATGAACTGAACATGGATCGCAAGGAGAATCGAACTCCACAAGGTTAGTTTCTCTGCTATTTCTGCCATTAAATCTTCGATTCTGCGTCTAATTCATCAAAATACGCCAGTTTAAATTTCATCCAATTTCCGTAAAATTGTACCAATTTGCAGCCGAAATCGCTCGAATTCTGGTCGAGTTTCTAGAGGTCGCCGTCACTTCAGTCGTTTTCCTCAAAGGAGTTTACCCAAACGGTGAAAATTTGAATTCCTATTTTGTATTTTATTTCTTTTTTTTTTTTTTTGGTGAATTTGATTTTTTGAACATTTAGGAGCGTTTGAGCGGCGGCGGTATATGAATGTGGTGGTTCATAAAGCCAGACACCCTCAGCTAAACGAATACATTCATTCTGCTGTTTATGGGCTTCTTCCTTTCATTTGCAAGGTGCAATTTCATTGATGGTGAATTTTGAAATGCTTTTTTTTTTTTTGTTGTTGTTGAATTGTTTTTTTTTTCTTTTAAATTAGGGTTTGGTGGATAGAGTTGCTGTGATCTTCTTCGATGGTGGTGATGTGGCTATTGAGAGATTTGTTTTCAAGATTAATGTGAACGAGTCGTATAGTTCGAAGGTTGAACAATCGCAGCTGGAGTTTTCTCTTAGGTCCTTCTTGATCAAACTGCCTGTATCGGAACCTCTAACGAAGGTTCTCCCGCGCAGTAAGCTTCGACCGTTTTTGTGTTTGCATTTTTTTCGTGGATTGCTTATTGAGAATGGAATTAGTGAAGTTATAATATGGACAAATTCTTTCAAGTGAAAACTTAGCAGCTTCTCTCATGGTGTAGATTGAAGAGGAAATAACGTTAGAAATGATCGAACATTTGAATTTGCGAATACTTTGACGTGGTTTATGTTTCAAGAACTATGTCACAATTCACATTTGAAATTGAGCTTATTTTGTCACAAATCGTGTTTGCTTTATTTGAAATGCTAAATGTGATTTTGACCCTTTTCAGTTCAAATTTGGTGAAACTCAAAAGCATCAAATTTGTAGTGCTTTGAGTTGGCTTTCTAATCCAACTTGAATCGGTTAGATTGGATATCGTCGGACAGAGTTATGCATGAATGAGTTACAGTATGAATCTCGTAAAACTCAAAACATCAAAGTCGTAACTCGTAATCAATGTTCATTCATTTATGCATAACTCTCTCACCCGATATCCAATCTAGCTGATTCAAATCGGATTAGAAAGACAACTCAAAGGGCTACAAATATGGTGTATCGAGTTTTGCCAAATTCAGATTGGAAATGGTCAAAATCACATATGAAGTCGAAACGGTTCCAAAAAATTGAAACAACAAGGTCGAAATGTTCTCCATTGTTTTTCAGACGCAAATTCGTGATTGATAAACGATTTTGACCAAAATTTCCGATGAATTTTTCCATCTTTAATTTGGAAATATTTATTTCGACAGATTGCAGGTGGGAAATAACAGGTTACTTTCGATGCCTGCCCGAAGGTAGCACTAGCAAAGATGCAGAAATGTGGGTCCCGACAGATGCAAAGCATTGGCAGCAACCGCCACAAATAACACCGATCAAGTCAATGAGCAGTGAGCCGCTCGGGTTGCAGCTGTATCTCGAACAACCTAGTCTCTCCGAGCCAAAGAACTAGGTAAGTTTGTAAGAAAGCATGTGTTCATATTTGTTTTTCATCAAGTACAAATATTTTTTTTAATCTGTTTAGTTGTTTTATCTTCTGGTAATCGTCCTCTTTTACATAGCCTAGGGCCTCGTGCGATAGAAATAATATGGTTACACCGTACTGATAAATAAAAAAACGAGGCCTCATCTAAGTAGATACATGTTCAAGTTTTTGTTGGGCACCCAAAATCTTCACCTTATCGTACATAGCTCTTAAGTGAATTAGCTAGCGGAAATATTCTCTTACACTTAACCGATAAATATTACGAGGAAAAAGCCCCTTAAATTACACTCTATAGAAGAATTAAGACAGCTACTCTAGTGTAACAAGAATGAATGAAATGACAAATTTAAACACTTTCTTCATCTGTTGAAGAAACCCGGACCAGCTCTTGTAAGAAGTTCTTCGCCCGCGTCTACGCCCATTTTCATCATATCCTCGTAAACATATTGACCTTCTCGATAGGTTTCCAGTACTATCAAAAGATAATTTAAAAAAAAAGGGTCAAAAAAAAAAAAAAAAAACATAATCCTCGAATCATTAATTATCATACCTTCGGTTCCGTCCGGAGATGCTATCAGTGCTTTAAAAATACAATTCCCATCGGCATCTCGTCGAGCGTATCCAGCAATGGGCGTTCGACAAGATCCCTCGAGTTTTTCCAGGAAAGCCCTCTCGCATGAAATAGCTAATCTCGTGTCCTCGTGATTTAACGATGCTAAGTACTTAACCTACAGAGACGAACTTTAAATACCAAAAATAATAACAACAACACAGCTAAAAATCGACCCTCCCCCCCAAAAATAAAATTAATTTCAAAAAATAAAATAAAACGAAACGTACCATTTTTTCATCATCCCTTCTACAGGCAATTCCAATAGCTCCTTGAGCTACAGCAGGAAGCATATCATCAATCGAGAGTACAGAAGTTACAGTCTCGATCATGTTTAGTCGTTTGAGCCCCGCTAGTGCAAGTAGGGTTGCTTGGACCACCCCCTCGTTTAGTTTCCTCAGCCTCGTTTGTACGTTGCCTCGAAAATTCTCCAGTACCTGCCGAAAATAATTCCATTACAATACGTACAATTGTAATTTGGGACTTGATAAATACATGACGTCTCAAAATACAGGACAACCTTATGTAAAAAAAATCAAAACCTAATCCACACCCTATTTGAAAATTAAAAACCCTAATTTAAATTTCGATTTCAACAAAAACTGGATTGGGTGAGTTAAAACTTAAAATTAAAAAAATGTCCTACGTTTAGTAAAAATCGTCCTGTATTTATCGTTTCCGAGTTTGTATTTTCTGCAAAACACACACTTACACTTAGATTTGGATATCGGTTGAGAAGCTGCGACTTCCGTCTGAGCGAAGCAGTGCCGACAATGCTGCCAGCAGGAAGCTCAGCCACGGAAGCTGCGGTCAAGCAAATAAAAGCATCCCGTACATCCTCACGCGGAAGATTGCAGGGCAAAATCGTCTTTTCAGGAAGGTACGTCGGAACATCTTTCATTGAATGCACAGCTATATCGATTTCACTGTTAATAAGTGCCTCGTCGATTTCTTTCGTGAACAAGCCCTTCCCGCCTATATCGGCTAACGGCTGACTCAAGATTTTGTCACCCGTGGTCTTGATTATCACTATCTGTATTGCACCTTCTTCGGCTAAGTCGGGATGCGATTCGATCAGCTTAGCTCTCGTTTCGTAAGCTTGCGCGAGGGCTAACGGGCTGTTGGATACAGATTAAATATTGTTAATAATCTTAAAACTCTATCTAACAATTAATTCTCAAATTGATTAAATAAATTAATAAATATCAAAAAAAACATTTAAAACTTCACATTGTAATAAAAATATTAAATAAAACCCAGAAAATTTAAAATCGGGGTTTATTATAAAAAAAAATAATAATAAGAAGAGGAAGTTCACCTTCCTCTAGTACCGATTCTGATCACCGCCGTCTTAGTTTCGATTTTCTCCTCGACGGAGACCGAAGCCCTCGCGGCGGAGACACGGCTGCGTAGGGCGAAAAAGGCGGGAGATTTATTTCCCGGCGAAGAAAACCCGAGAGCTGAAACTGAACCGGCGGTGAAATAACTGGATAAGGGCCTCGTTTTTACGCCGGCGAAAGCAGCTGCTTGACTTACAGAAGCTATGGCGGTTTCCATCGGAGAAGAAACTCAAATGCAGATACAATAATTAAAGGATAAAGTTGCAGAAATGTTTTTTTTTTTTTTTTTTCCGATTCGTCGGGTTTTAGAAATTGGGTCCTAAAGACTGTTCTTCCCGAGATCTTAGATTAGTCTGATTGGGGCTTTTGCCAACTTATCCTCCACGTCAGCCGAATGGGCATGCCATGTCATCATTTTAAATTATGAAAAAGAACCCACCCAATATTGGCCTCTCTTACCTCACCTCTGACCAATCAGCTGATACCACGTCATCTTTCCTCTTTCCACCTCCAAGTAAGTCACTATAAACACATAGAGGGTGTTTGACTAACTTATTTTAAAGAGCTGATAAGCTCTAACGTCCGATAAAATATTTTAAGAGCTGATAAGCTGTTACATCTTATTTTTATGATTAATTTTTAGAGTGTTTAGATAATGAGTTTATTTCCTATTTTTACTCATTACAAGATCTTAAATAAAAAGGTGGGGCAGATGTATTTTTTTATAAGATCTTATTCGCTCTACGACACCTTATTTTTTTAAAAATTAAGATCTTTTTAAAAAAAATTACCAAATACTTTGGAAGAGCTTATAAGCTCTAAAACATCTTATTAGCTCATTTTAACATCTTATAAGCTTAGCCAAACACCATCTTAGACGTGGAAATTAGAACGGAATTACAGGTTTGATTCAAAAAATTTCTAATTTCGGAATATTTTTTCTCCATTGCGAATCCCAAAAGTTTCAATTTACAATTTTTCCCTTTCGTTGTTCTAATTTTTATTCTGAATATTCCCTATTTTTTTTTCTTCAGAAATTACATTTAATATTTGTCGGACAAATAACACTTGCCCCCCCCGTGTTTTGAACCTTGTACTTTTTAATATAGTACGTAACTCTCTTGTATTTCAATATAAACACATAACTTCCCTGTGCTTTCAAATTTCACTTTTCCTAATTGAGCATGATTATTTACCAAGTAGGATACGATAAGGGGGTTATATGCTTATATTAAAAATAAAAGGAGGTCGTTGCACAAAGTTTAAATTGCAGAGGGGGTTATGTGTTTATATTGAGATTACAAGGGAGTCATGAGCACAAAACTCAAACCATAGGGGGGTTAAGTGCTATTTACCCATATTTGTATTATGGGTTAATTCACAATCCATGGGCAGTGGGCCTTTTCTTGTACAGTGTTAAATTCAAGTTCTAACCATTAAGCCCATATCCAGAGTTGACTTCTAACATATTCCAGCCCATAAGCATAGTGAACTAATTCCTTAATATATTCTTTTGGAACATGAAATTTACTTTAATACTTCTATAAAATATTATATATTTTCAATACAGATGCAATCTATGTAGCACAGAGCCGGAAACAGAGATATAGCAAAACGGGGAAACGAATACGTGAAAACGGGCATATTTGAAAATTTGTTATTCGAATATGTTTCTAATTTTTCCTCAAATTGCAAAATGCCTCATAAGGTGTCCGACAGGTGTCCTCGAGCATCGGACACAAAACGTTGTCTGAAACACAGATGCGTTAAGAAGTTGAAGTTTCCGTGCCACGTACAATGAAATTCAAGAACAATAAAAACAAATTCTTTGAAGTAAAAGTTTAGGTGAATAATAAAATATATGAAAAATAAAGAGGAGCCGTAAAATGTTAGTATTAATTGTTAGGTAAAAAATAAAAGAATAATGTGGGAGTAGCATAGTAGTAATAGTAGTAATAGTTGGCAATTGGCATCACTCAAAATTGGGCCCACGTTAACTCCTGAGCTGAATTCACAAGTAAGGTATGTTTCCAATGACACGTGTAATGACATATTTGCCCCTCAAGCATGCCTCTCTTATGTAGTGGACAAAATATATATTCCTTTCGTTGCTTATTAAATGTCATTTTTTTAGTTTTATATAAAGATTAAGGATCTTTATATAAAGGTGTCTTGATTTTAAGAAAACGTGTATTTTTAGATTAAAATACTCTTAGTTTTTAAGTATAAGAAAGAAAAACGAGTTCAAAAAGATAGTGTTACGGAGAGCTTATAATGACATAGATTGAAAATTAAATAACTAATGCAGTATTCAAAATTTAAAGTGACAAATAATATAAAATAAATAAAATTTTGGAAAATGAATAATTTTGTGAAAAGGAGGAAGTATTTATATTTCTTTAACACCCCCTAAATTGGAGGCATTTAGAGGGGGCAAAAGTGCGGTTAGCGCAGGAGAATGTGTATTAACTAACCAAAATCAATGGTCGTTAGATTGAGTTTGTGTTTGTCATGCATTGTTAATTTAGTATAGCCTACATCTCTCATATGATTTGCAAGCTATTGTACGAAAATGTAGAGCCTATACTATTGGTTACATATTTTTTTTATCAATAAATAAAGAAATAAATAAATAAAGGAGAAAAAATCCAACAAACAAGTCAAGGGAAAAGAGGAATCACGAGTTGAAGCGATAATTAAACCATTCAATAAATCAATCCTACATTTTGAAAATGACAACATTCATTGGACTCTACACAAATCTTGCTTCTCTTTTTCTTTGGTTGTATTAATCCAACGCCCTATTTTCATTGACCCATAAAACAACTTTTTCATTTCACCCCTTTTTTCACTCTACTTTTTGTGTGTGTGTGTGTGTGTGTGTTTTTTACAATTTTGTTTCATATTTGGGTGGTGCCTAATTTAAAGTAGAAGTACTTGTTAAGTTGTGTAAGCAATAATAGAATTTTGGGGGGAAAAAAAGTAGATTAGGAAAAAAAGGGGTGAATTGAATTCCCATTGTAGAATTCGCCCATCTCTCTTTTGCTTTTGGCCTAGTCTTCTACCTCACGATTTTACTCATTATATCTATCCATCACTCTTCTTCATTGTAAATTAATTGCAATTTTCAATTATCTTTTGTTTCACGAGGGTCGTTTGGTTGATGGAGTAAGAGAGTACGGCGTCATTTGACTGAGTTTGAACTTCATCACTAACAATTTGTTTACGTCAAACTCATTACATACGCCCAATCTAATATGATTTTCATCTCTCACACAGTTGCAATTAATTATAGAATTTACTGAATGCACTTCACTTGCAATTTCATCATAGTTCACTATCTTTTTTTCTATGGGCTAAGTGGAGCATATTGAGTATCATCTTCCCTTTGAATATGTATTTTCACAATTATGAGTGGTCCATTTTCAAGAAAATGATACTTTTTCGATACATGCGTGAAATAACGAAATTAAGGCTCTCCGGACCGTTAATATGCCTGATAACAATCATATCAATTGACTTTTATCAGTATACAACTTATACTAAACCTCTATAAATTAATACAATCGAAACTAACAAAATTCTTTTAACGTAGCGAAATATTTAAATATCAAACTAATAACATAGTACCATTTTACCGTGTCAGAATCGAAAGAAATCATTGCTTAAGCAATGTTATTAATTTATCGAAATTCTACTTTAAAAATTCACAACAATTGATTCTTTAAGATGTTAAGTTTTCCTTTTTCTTTTTTAATTTTCACTAATTCATTTATGAAGGGTGTGACAAAATACTACTTCTCTACACTATTATAAAGTTTATATCAAATCACACCTAGATGTAAGTCTAATGAAAAACTTGTAATTAATAAGTAAATTAGTGGTGAATAAAATTTAATATATCCTCATTGAATAAGTGGAATAAAGTGAAATTGTCACCTTTTGACATTATGAATTGTAGGATGCCAAAGCTAAACTGGCCTGGGGAACTGTGGGCCCCACCCTCCAATGAAATTCACTGTCCGTACAATCAGACCCATAATGCACAATTATCATAACCCCCCATTATTGTACTAAACCATTTGACAGACGTACCCATGTGGGGTTTAAGTTTTTAAGGATTAATACTAATTAATTAATAATAATACTAATTAATTAATATACTTAAAAGTCGACCATAAGTTATGACAATTTTTTTTTGTTTTTTGGGCTTTAACATTTTGTAGCTTTATTGAACAACATTACTTCTCCGCGTTATTATGATAAAAACCGAGGTGTGACACCGCGTTCGTAGGGGACGAGTGTCTGCGTTCGAGATTGGAAAAGCAGTCCGAGTCTCATTGCCAATGGTCGATATATCGAGTTTGTCACACATGGTTAGTGTAATGTGGTTTACGTCTCTCGTATGATTTGCAAGCTATTATATGAGAGTATAGGTTTATCCAGTGCACCTATATAGTTGTAGCGAATTTTTTTCATAAAAAAAATTAAAAGAATATAAATTGCAATGTGAATTGGATGATTATGAAAGTCTTCAAATTTCTTTCCAAAATATAATCCTTTGATGAGAAACTTCTAAGAATTTATCCAAAATTAAAATATATCCATACACAAATATACCATACAAAATTTAATTTGTAAATTAGACGTTTCATTTGGCACGTACCAAAAATTCTACTAACCATACTTCCTTGTGAATCACGGCTCGTGTCAAACTCATATTGAACGTGACATATTTATCAGATTCATTCATAATTATAGAAAATTATAAACAAGGAAAAAAATAATACTCTTGAAAATGTAAATAAATATGTAAATATGTGATCAAATCATATAGTGTTTGGAATTTTAATATATGGCTCACATGTAATATAGACATTTTTGGCATATAATTCATATATTAATGGACATACATAAGTAGACACACGTCGTGTGTATATATCATGTGTGTGTGTTTTTATATATATAAATTAAAAACAAATTATTTATTTATTAATTAATTAATTTATTTATTTATTAGTAATCAATCATGTGGGGCTGGGTTTTGGACGGATCCACCAAAGATTAACTCGGCCTAAAATCAGATCTACCCGTATATAAAAAACGTTACATTCAAAACCGGCCCGATAATCGCGGTATACAAAGCGGGTTCGGGTCGTATACGGGTCAGACCCGCTGTTACCGCATATATAAACTTGCATGCTTCTTTAGCCTTTTTTTTCTCATTTTCATTTTTCTTCTCCACCTCTAAAAATACCTTCTGTCAACAAGCAAGCGTAAGTTAGCAAAAATCCGAAGGATAAAAGTCACATATCAAAGCTGTTTGGATCGACTGTGTAGAGAAAGAGAGATAGAGAAGTGAAGAAATATACGTCAGGCATCAATGGCGGTCGAAGCTCGTCAATACAATTTGTTTCCTCCGCAGATTCATCTCAGCAGCAGGTTGTATTTCCGCGTTTTGTGGAGATTTTTTTTTTTTTTTTTTTTAATTTGGTGAAGGATGGATCGGAAATGAATCGCACGCTGATTGTGTGATTTTTGAATTTGCAGAGGTTTGGTGATGAACGGCGTTGAAGGTAACGGAAACGTGTTCGGCGTTCCGATTGGGTACGGAATGGTGGCTCCTTTATCCGGAACAACGACGACTGCGACGGAAACTATGGTTCCTATGTACGGTTCGGCATTCGCCGGCGCTTTTCCAGTGAAAAATCCGGCGGCGATGAAATCGGAAAGCGGGGTAACTTATAACGTTCCGGTTTCGAGGAAGCGGTCGAGAGAAACGATTAATTCTCTCCCCGGCGGTGTTCAGAATCAGAGTGTTGGTAATCGGTGCGGTTCGTTTACTTTCCTCGGCGAAGATATCTCGTTTCAGATCCAACAACAGCAGTTTGAAATCGATCGGTTCATCTGTCAACACGTAAGTTACTTTAGTTTAATCTGCGTTTTCAGTTTTCACTGCTTCGAATTCATTTTCCGGTGAGAATTAATTATTTGTATTTTTTGTATACAGACTGAAAAGGTCAGAGCGGAAATCGAAGAGCGGCGGAAGAAACACACGCGGAGAATCGCGGCGGCGGTGGAAGAAAACGTGAAGAATAAACTCAGAGCAAAGGAGGAAGAAATCGAGAAGATTGGTAAATTAAATTGGGCGCTGGAAGAGAGAGTCAAATCACTGTGCGTCGAGAATCAAATATGGAGAGATTTGGCTCAATCGAACGAAGCCACGGCGAACGCCCTCAGATGCAATCTCGAGCAAATCCTCTCCCAATTCCACGACGACCAGCGGCGGCGAAACAGCCGCGCCGGCGAGGCGGATTTGGTTTGCGACGCCGCGGCGGAGTCGTTCTGCGGGAGCAACTTCGACGAAATCGACCGGCGCGGGCTAGCATTGGCGGATAGCGCTTCATCGGACGGCGCAAACATCGCCGGAGACGGATGCATTGCGGCGGCGGCGGGCAGCAGGATGTGCCGGAGCTGCGGGAAAGAGGAATCATGCGTGTTGCTTTTGCCCTGCAGGCATCTCTGCCTCTGTACTGTTTGCGGGTCCACTCTCCACACTTGCCCCGTTTGCAACTCTATCAAAACCGCTAGCGTTCACGTTAATCTCTCCTCCTGAATTTTAATTAATTAGGATTTTGGATTAGATTAAATTAAATTAAATTAGTCTTCTTAATCATCAAATGTGTTATAACACGAAAGAAATTCACGCCACAATTTTCGTTTTTAATTTATATTTGTTGTATAATAATCCAGTAAAATTGTTAATTTTCGCAATCGGCGCGTGCCGATCAGTTCCTGAGAGAGGAGCGTGAAGTCAACGAAGCGGTGGGAAGGGGAGAGTGAAAACGACACGTGCAGCGTAAAAGGCTGACACGTAGGACGCGCGCAATTGTCGCTGTGGCCACTAACAAAGCAAAAACCAAAGCCCCGGCCAGGCTCGGTCTTCCATGCAGTTACTGCGAAACTGTGTGTAATTGCACCCGATGCGCACTGCAGAGAGGATGAACGTAACTGACAATACACGAGGTTCCGTAGTAGTTTCTGTCGCGTCCCGCCAAAACTTCATTATTCAATATTCAGACTGATGAGAGAGAAAAAAGAGGAGAGAGAAAATCAGGACAAAAGTACGGTAAAAATCAATATCGAAAAACCAAAAAGAAAAAAAAAAAAAAAAAAAAAAAAGGTACGCAGGGTTTTTACTGTAATTTTCCGCACCATAAGCGTACAGTAGACGGATAATTTTTCCAGCTCCTTTTGTCAGTTGTCACCATCCAATTTTAAAGTTTATAAATAATCTTATTAAGCGAATTAATTAATTTTTTTAAGATCTAAATTTACTTGTTAAATAAGGCTAATATTGAATATATGTAATTAATATATAATCTATTATGAAACGGGCGGCAAAAGGAGTGGTTGAGGTGGTGTAATGTAACGTCACGTGGGAGGTGGGTTTTGGTTTTTAATTACGATGCAGATTTTATTATGACGCACCGCCAAAAGCTCTATCTTCAGTCACTTTCAATGGTGGTAAAAATAATAGTGCTTTTTTTTTTACATGGGAGGTAAAAGGAATATATAGTGTGAATTTTAGGTAGGCTGTGTCCTTTTGTTTTGTTGCAATATGGAAAAGTTGGGTGGGTATATAGTGAAAAGATCAGAAATCCCTCTAAAAGTGTAAAGTTAAATATCACGTTCTCGGTTTCTGTTTCAGTTTCGATTCGGGTTCCATTTTGATTTTACTTATTACTTCGGGTTTCGGTTTTGAGTTCAATCGAAACCATGAGTAGATGGATGAAAAATCTTTACCTTGGCTTCGGGTGGATTTCTGCGTAATGAATATTATTTACCCTGGGAGTTTTATATTAAATTTTTCTGATTTTCTGGGTTAATTTTTATTTCTACCTGCAATTTATTCATTATCTAAGTTTTTATGTGTGTTCTTTCTTATTCAATTAATATCCTTCTCTATATTATATACAACCATGTATTTTGCATTTGTCCTTTTTTTTACTTTTTTAACCTTGTTATCTTTATTTTTCTTTAGTCCCTTCCTCTTTATTTTTATCCTTCC